GTCCACAACATGAGGAACATTGAAAAGGCTGCTTCAACCGTGAGCTCAACTGGTCCACAGGTCTGAGCGTTTAGTGTTTCAGGTCCCTGGTGACGTAGCGCCATATTGAGACGCACGTGTGATGTGTTATGATAGATGATATATTTACTGTTTTATAATTTTAAACAGAAGGCAGCGTGCGATACTTTTACAAAAGCTGGGATGGTGCAACTTCCTCGGTATCAAGGTTTTCAATGGAGTCTATGGAAATAGATTTCATTGCAAAACTGGTTTAAATCTGGAAAATAATTGGATGCTTTGAATCACTCTTACATCTGACCCTTGACTATTAATCAAGGGTCAGATGTAAGAGTAATTTTTATGAAATGCTTGAATACGTGCCATATGTGTAAAAACCTTTATAGATGTATGTGGCGAAGAAATTGTTGTTTGGATGGCTCCCTTCACTGAAAAATTCTCTAGATAAGGTTTATAATCTTGTGGCCACAGATTCTATCCTCAACAATTCTTTCAGCCCTCTCATTCAAAGCCTTTTTCCCTCTTCGCCCCCTTTCAACTGCAGCAAAGCAAGCTAAATAAAAATTCCAAAGGCGAGGAAGGCCCGGAGGCTGAGAGTGCTGCCGTAACGGGAAGTTTCTCCTCTGAGTTAGTAGGTTCCAATCCTTACATTTACGATCAGTTCTGCCTGCAAACCACAGAGCAGAAGATCAACCAGATCATTCTGCTACAGGTAACAAATAATGCCTTTTACATTGTAAAATACTTCTCCAAAGCAGTACCGAGTGCACACAGAAAAATAATAGAAATCGAAAGTGAAATTGATTTTTTTTGCTATATATCGCTCCACTCCAAATGCAGGATGTGATTCGTTGCATCAAGACAGCGTTCAACAGTGACTTTGAGGCCGTGTACAAGCAGAAGGTGCAGGAGCTGAACCGGGTGAAGGACAGGAACAGACACATCACGGAGATCATGCTGGAGCTGGACGTGAGGGAGAAGCTGTGGGAGCCCGGCCTGACCGTCAGCGAGCAACCAGAGAGGCTGCTCACTGTGGACGACTCTGAGGTTACTGACCCCTTCGGGATCTAAAAGTTCAACAAACTAACAGAGCTTTGTATATTTGTTTGTTTTTTTTCGTCCAAAAAATTAATTAAAAAAGTATTGTATGGACATCGTTGTATTTCACCGAGATATGCAACTTTGTCACACTACAGATAAAAGCAGAAAAGTACCTCAGCCCAGAACAACAAAAGGAGGAGGAGAGGAAGAAGTTGGAAGAGCAGAAGTGTTTGGGTGCCAAAGTATGCCGCCCAAATAAATGGGTTTTTGTTTTGCAACTCTTATAATAAATTCTGTATATACTTCCATGTATGGGAAGGGCTTTTGTAATTGTTACTATCAATTAGAACAAATGTCAGCAGGCTTCACGTTTATTCAAAAACACATCCATAAATATTGTATGTTTATAACAGAAAGTGATTAGTACAAGTATTTCTGTTCCTTCATATTGATTGCTCTTTCCATTGCAGGGGGATACTGTCAGAGACAGGGCTCTTGATGACATGATGAATGGAGTGATTGAAGTGAAAAAAGACGGAATCTTAAAAATGGTGGGTCATAATATCTCAGGTTGTTTTGTTTGAAATTCGAAAGAAGGTGCAGACATTCCTTCCTTTGGGTATATAGCCAAGACAACTATTGTAACTATAGGGCAACTATTTCAATAATCAATTATTATTTTATAAAGCATGATTGGCAAAAATTCTCTGGTTTCAGCTTCTTTACTGTGATTACCATTTTTATTTATTCATTAAATCATTTATTTCTTAAATAAATCACGGAGTATGCAAGTGTTAAACGCAAAACATATTTTGACTGTAGTAGAAAATTAGGTCTTTTGGATTTAAAAAAAAAATTGTTACGTGGTACATTTTTAAGCGCACATAGTTTCTTTTGAATTAAATCCCCAGAAAATCCCTCCGCCTGGGTTTGTTTTGACCAAACCTGACAAGGATTGGAGCGAGGAGGAGAAAAAGGTCTATAAAGAGTACGAAAAAAAATCCACAGACCTCAGCGAGGAGAAGGAGAAATACAAAAAGGTATTACAGTGGAAACGCTCACAATTCAGTTTTGCTATGATGAGAAATATAATAAACCTCTGATCAGTGACAAATACTAATCACCTGTGATCTCTGTGATTGCAGTCCATCGAAACTGAAATGAGAAAACTACAGGCATCCAGCATTGATGCTACCGAGAGGTTTGATGAGACTTTGACAAAGCTGTTTGAGAAGAAAGTGAAATGTGAAATGGCAATTTATCAGGTGAACACACACACACACACACACACACACACACACACACACACACACACACACACACATATGCATATGTACGTGACACATGGACTCATTAACGGAACACATGTATCCAATCTGAGTCCCATTACTTCCATCTGTTTCCTTTTTCTGTGTCCTCAAACAGTATGAAGGGCCCTCTGTTTTCATTGTGGTTCCCTCCCTAAGACAAATGTGAAATATAATATCTTGTTGGTTGTGACACCTGAAATAAATCCTGCTTAATCTTGTTATTGATGTATTTCTCAGGAAGAGCTCAAGGTTACTTATCTTGTATATTCAGTCCTCGAAGAAGACGAGATTAGAAATCGAGACCTGGAGCTCAAGCTCAAACTTGAAAAAACGTTGGCATTCAAGGTAAGAAAACTCGTACACAGTAATCCTGAAGTACAAGGCTTGTTGACTGCAAGATTCCGTTTCTGCTAATTGTGACATCCCTGAGTTAATGGCAGCAATGTTCTTCTAAATTCTTGTATAATAGCTTTCCATCTCTCAGATGTGGTCTGCAAGAGCTAACCTGCGCAAGATCAAAACTGTTCGCCTGTGTTCCTCTTAATAATGGAGCTGTATTTGTCTGACAGGAGGAGATTAGACGGGAGGTAAAGAGACACGAGGAAGAACTTGAATTCTTCCAAGAGTCCTATGAAAGCACCGTAGCTGAGGACAAAGTAAGTCAGCTGAGAATATACTGAAACATTTCGCCTGTCCCACACATAATCCAATATCTGTCCACGTCTCCCAAAGGTTCTTGACAAAGACTTCAGGAAGGAGTTCTTTAATGTGCAAAGTCATCTGGTCGATAGCCTTTATAAGTTATTCAGGAGTAGACCCAGGTTTGTACCACTCGCTCGCATTTAACGTCCACGTTGTAAATTAGCTGCCGAGTCGCTGCACGCTGCCTTTTGTGTCTCAGGGTTCAGAAAATGAGGACCCAGACGGACAGCAGCTCCGTCCTGTTCAAAGAGCAGCGCCTGTGCGGTTCTCAGGCTCCCGATGCTCTGAGCAAAATGCTGAAGGCCATGGAGGATCTCGACGCTCCGGAGAACATACCAGTAGGAGTCAGCCCACAAATCTGGGAGAGGTTCTGTCTCGTCCGCCGCGTAAAAGTAGAGAGTGAGCAAAAGGTAATTGGAGGAGATGGACTTAAATACAAATACAGTTTTTGTTTTTTTCCACACTTCAAGCATGCAGTCAGTATCTCATTTCACAAGTAGTTCTAAAGGCGCTTACAATTTGATGTCATCAATATCATGTTCAGGAAAGATCCCCATACTAACGTGTGCCTTGTGAGGGATGGTGGACTCACTGTTTGACACGTTCCTTCCAGGTAAAAGTTAAAGCTCTGACTCTTGCTGAGATGCACGCGTTCCTTCAGAAGAGGAGAGCGGAGGACAGCGCCGCTCAGCAGGAAATAAAAATTCTCCTCGATGAACTTGAAAGGTACAACTGTGATGTTATCATTCCTTCTTTTTATAAGTGGTTAAAATATGAAACTTTTTTTATTCACCGCTCATTAGGAAACACCTGGATTTGTTCTGTCTCTATGTAAGAGTACTTTTTGTCTTCTGTTGTAGTCTGCATAGAGATAAGAACCGTTACCTGAAGGACATCATGGTCCAAGTCCTGCTCAAACAGGGCCAGGTGGAGGTTTCTACCACAGGCCTGACTGCCGATTACACCGACTCGGTACTTTCCAACAGGAGCGAGGTGGAGAACCTCAACAGAACCATCCGGGTCAGCCTACAGCACCAGACACACATACTCTTATTTCTAAAACAAGGCGAGGCCATTTGTGCTGTGAGGATGGATACACAAACACACAAGGGGTCACAATTGCGTATTTAGTTTGTACTGTACAAACTCTAGTGTTGGTCAGATACATTGGTTATGAATGCTGTGTCTGTCAAATGATGATTAATCTACATGATCAGACGCTGGGGGAGCAGAAGATAGCCACCATGGTGGAGTGCAAAGACTTCCGTAAGGGCATCATCAAGCTGCAGTGGGAGCACAGGATGAAGGGGATGCAGATCGAGCACCTCAATACCAAGGCGAGGGACATCCAGATGTTACGACTCTCTGAGGAGCAACAGGATGTGAGTGGAATCGGTACTCTGAAATATTGTCATACGGTAGTTTTCATCAAGGACCTGGATATCTTTTATTCACCGTCAAAGGCTGTCTTTGTCTGAATAAGTAAATCTGTGTTAAATAACACTTTATTGGGAATAATGCTACTGGATAGATTTGACCCTGCCCATATTTCATGTAATTATAGGTCCAATATTTTCAAGGTTCAGCATGTCCTCGAGATGGCAATGACGTCTCTGAATTTATGGCGAAACTTTAACCCCGTTAGCATTTTTGGCCGAACCTCAGTCGCTGATATCTAGGCAGGTATTTGGCTTTCGGCAGCACCAGATGTTATGTGAGCAGAAAATTGTTACCATCCCAGAGTACAGATGGGTGGTGAAACACCGTATTCTCGCAAGCTCCCCACCCTGTTTTTTTATTTTCTTCTGTCGGCTGGAGCTCAGGTAGAGACTTGATATACTACACTATGTTTAAAGAAAAATGTATTCATTTGATTCACTTTAACATCTCTGCTGTGATTACAAATTCCAGAGAACGTAAGAAACAAAATGTGCTTCAATCCGCTACACGTCAATCCAATGCAGGGCAGTTTAATCAAAAACAGAAAAAACAAAAGCTGCTCACCAAAGACCATTTCATAAACATTACAAAAAGGTTCTTTCATAACTTTGTGATTAAAAAAAATATATAGGAAGGTGGTGGTTGGATAACAAAAAAATACAGAAAGAACAAATGAGTCACCCGTCGTCTTTTTTTCGACAAGTTAATGAGCATCGCACACGCCGAACATGTTTCCAGGCCCAGATGCCAGTTTCCTCAGGTAGCTCTGCTGTGGCAAGCAGCTTCCTGTCATTGTTTAGGCCCCTGAAGCCTTAACATCCATAAAATATTTTGAATTTTTGCCCATTTTGGTTTTAGAGTAGAAACTAATGCGAATCACATCGGCTGTTCTTTTTTGCTTTATTAGTCACTTTAGTCGCCTTTCCCCCCCCAGTACCTCAACAAGACGGGTCGAGACAGCCGGGTGTCCAAGCAAGTTTCTATCCTGGAGAAAACTTTAGCTTTTCAGGAAAAGGTAACAAAAAAGTAACAATATGATCTCATCAATCGCGTCCGTGTTGTGTATTTTACGTTACCGACTTGAACTAATGTACATTTGATCATCTAATTAGGCTCATCTAAAAAGTGTGAAGCAGCGCATGAAAAAGATTGAACAGCTCAACAGGCAGGCGGCAGAGAAAGCCAAGGAGAACGCAACTGTTAAACAGCAGCTGCCCGATATGCAGGTGACTGTGGCAGAGAGGACGCACATCTATGAAGCCATAGGTAATAAAACGAGACTTTCGGCTCATCGCTAAGGGAGATTTCGGAAACCTCTTCTGACTGATAGTGTGACCTGTTTGGTGTTTAGCTTCACAGGATAATCAAGCAGCTAAGACAGAGGAGCGCTACCAGGAAATCCTTCTGAGGAGTAACCTGGAGGCCTGTGCCAGAGCGCAGGCGGAAGAGCTGGCTTCCCTCTGGGCCGAAGTCGAGCGCCTGAGGATGAAGAACTTTCCGTCACTGGATCAGCTGAAACACGACTGAGCGAGGCCTCATTTACACTTCTGTCAACGAGTAAACTGCTGTAGGAGCAACAAATAAACGGTTAACTCTGATGCGATGGCTTCAGCGGGTATATGTTTTGTTTTTTTTAGGTAGTAAAGTCCTCTTCCGCGCGGTCAAAGTGCAGAATGGCGTCATCCAGACCGAAGAGGTCAATGAGCGCCGACAGGCTGGCCTTTCCTCCCTCGATGGGGACGTCTGACATCAGCTCGTACAGTGCAGCCTGAGCACAGCTCCGCCACTTGTCAACCAGGGTCTGGAGCTGCGTCAAATCATTCTTGGGACAGAGACAGGGAATGTGGGAAATTTAATCAAAACGTTCACGTTCAGAGGAAACCCGGCCAGATTAAACAGTGGCTGGTACCTTGTTCCGGTACATCTTAACCATCTTGAGCCGGCGCAGCGTCTCCATCTTGTCTTTCACCTCCCTCCTCAAGCGGTCTCGCTCTTGTGTGAAGTCTTTGGAAGGATGACACGTCGGTTCGGAAATGGGTCCAGAAAAACTCTCGCTCCCTGACTTCTCGTTTCTGTTTACGTCAACATCGGGCAAGGTCGATGAAGGGTACTTAACAGTCTCCAGGGAATCTGCTGAAACTTGTTGGCCATTCTTGTCCTCCACCTTCTCATCAACACACAGGCGTTTGGCAACAGAGGAGGGGGGCGAGGTGAAGGAGCGCCTCGATCTCTTCAGCCTCTCCCTCAGGGAGGAGCTCAGCTTCTGGTGATGCTGCGGAGGAGATGTCAGCTTGCGTTTGTTTTGACGGGATGTTAGATAACGTTGACGTGCAAAGCAAATTGCACTCCTTCCTACCTTCTCCTCTTTGTGCGCACGGGGGCTCGCCTCTGCCGAATGGGGAGGTGAATGAATCAGGGGGTTTGATCCGGCGGCTTTAGGAGTGACCTCCATGAGCGACACTTGGACGCATGAGGATCTTCTGCTGGTGAAGTACAGTCACGTGACGGATAGAGTTGGCTAAAGTTGGCCCCTCGCGGGTAAACTAGCTAACGTCGGTCACGTAGCGTCTGGTCAACAAACGTAAAAACGATGTAACTCGAGTACTGAAACAAAAGTGTTGACGGACACGTTGTAAAGAAGTAGAAAGCAGCCCAGTGACTTCACAAAGTGCGATAACTGATACAAAACAAGAACGCGACGAGACGTTTCCCTGGTTTCCGTGTTGTTGCGGCTCAAGAAAGCCTCCAAAGTTAGCGATAGGGCAGAATTTGATTACGCGTTACCGAAGAGGATTGTGGGAGCTGTAGTTGTTGGTCATTATATACATAGAACACGTTTTAGAACCGTAGTCCAATGTTGTTTTTCTAGCTACCACGCAAATTGTAACAGTATCATCATATCTCCCTTTTTGTTTTAGAAAAGTTTAAAATATTAAAAGTTTTCAAATATATTTCTTTTCCTTTTTGCGGAAATTAAGAAAATACATATTCAAAATGTTAATGGTAATACTGATGATAATAATAATATTGTCAATAGCCTAGTTAGTAGATACATGTGGATCTAACTGAACTGCTTAAAGAGGTAAAACAGTTCATGAATCTTTTTGTTGTGGGTATTTGGGAGTGGTTCTAGTGTTACTAAGCTACACCGGTTGACTCATAATGGCATTCAGCACTTCTCGTCAGATGATTCATTTATATTAAAGGATTTATTCAGTTACAGAGAGATTTATTGTTGGTTTGCTGAAGAAGTTTTTTGAGAGATGTCACGATATTCAGATTTTTTATTTCTTTTGTTGCCTTAGGGAGAAATGTTTGAATTAAATTGGATCTTGCCTAGACCTGAATGTCCATGCGTGGCAGTTTGCTATTACACCCCCCAGGGAATGGGAATCTTTTTACACTTCATATGATGAATATTGCAGGGCTGAGGGTTTAAGATAATTACTCTGAGTCAAGAGGGGTTTACAATTTTTTTTAACTCTTGTCATTAGCCGACATCAGTACATGTGCTTCCACCTCAGCATCAAAACTGTGGCAATGGTCTGCGTTTATAGAATCTAGAGGTGAGACACTAAGTTATTTCTCGTAATGCAGGTACATGCTGAGCCGCCATAAATAAAGCCACATGTTACGTTAGTATAGGCTACTAATTCCTCTTATGATACACATCAGCAGTAAGATAGTATTGGCCGGCAGTAACGGCTTTATGGTCCTGTGCTAGTTGAGCAATATGTCTTAAATTCCGGATCAAACACATCAGCTTTTCTTTGGTGTCTCAGTGGAGGAGCTGTGATTGTCCCGTGTAGTGTCACTTGATTTTGTTCAGCTGAAAGAGTGCTTTGTATTTCGGGTTAGTGGGTGAACTTGTTTTACTATAATGTTTCTTTTATGTCGTGCCAGTGCCTCATCAGCAAACACTTCCTTATCAACAAGCTCACATAATGGCGACATAATAATGAGCTTTAAAACAGAATTAGTCTACGAGGCTCTTTTCTACATAGGCAACTTTAGCTAATGAGGCAGGTTCTTGTACATGATATTTTCTTTCAGCGGTAAAATGCCTAAGAAATGTGTAAATAATTGAATTGCTGAAACCCACTGATGTGCAGTGAACACGGGACTGTTTAGACCCCATCTGCTCTTTACCACAGCTGACATTTTGACTTCTCACAGTGAAGCATAACAAGTAAAGCATGAACAAGACTGGAACAGATGAAATGGAACTCAGCCACAATAAACTTCTTTACACTTGTGAGAAAATCACCTGAAAAGGATTTAAAAATGAAATCCGTATATCATTATCATCCAAATATCCTGGTAAATAAAATCCACTGTGGACTTGAGCTGCCATTCCCAAGACCACACACACACAGTGCTCCCCTTAAACGCATCATCTGCTGCTCTTTTCCCTACAAAGGTTTTACCAGCCTAACTGAGAACAAAGTGTGACATTCATTAAAGGATGAGTGTAAGCTTGTCTTTTGCGTCGGCCTGTTGATTTTTCCTGTATTATCTTTTATGTTAACAATAAATTAATGCAGGTCCCAGCATGTTTTTTCAAAACAGACTGAAAAAGCCTGTAACAGAGATTTCTCCGTGACCTAGAGTCAAGAATAAAAACAGTACAACATATCTATTCCATCAGTACCTGTCACGAAGCACAAGTGTGGGATACTTTCTGGTATGCGTAAGGAGAACTGGTTGGTTTCTTTACAACACTTCCACATGTCACGTTATCTCGATAAACCTTGAATGATCTAAGGCCTCTGCTTCTTTGCTATGCAACGCACTTCTTGTAAACCTAATTTGGGCACCTTCTTGTTTCAGAGATTTGATTAGCCCTTATGTGGTAAAGCTATTATGTTGGACAACGGCCCGAGAGTGTTACAGCACAAAAGGGCTGCGCAAAAACCAGTGCACTCCTTTTTTTTTTTTTCTTCTTCTTCTCACCATCCTGGAATCTGTACTTTTAAACCAGCCCCTTTCCGTTAGATTTGGCATTATTCAAGCTCGCACATAGATGTGAGGGGAGCAGCTCCTCCTCCCTTACACTGTCCTTGGGGCCATTTGTTTTCCATCATTTGAGCAGCTTGAAGTCACGCTCGCTGTGAGTCATGCAGTGGGAGGATGTCTACACTGGGTGTGGTGGGCGAGGGATCTGAGTGGCGCTTGTGGCTGCCAGTAGAGAAATAAAGCGTCCAATTTGGCTAAAAACGGCATAAATGCGAATGAGTGGAGAGGGAACTTTTATTATGATCCTAGATGTAGTATTTTTAGTTTTGCATGCATGCCTTTTGCTCACTGTGTTCATGTGTGTGGTAGATTATTGTGTGTTTCTGTAGTAACACAAGGACTCGAGACATATAGACTAAATGTTCTTTCAACATCCAATGTGTGCACCAGATGTGTTCCAGCTGCAACAGCATGCTGCACACAACAGATCAGCAGACCCCAACATGGTTGCACGCCTGCAATCCATAAAAAGAGGGGAAAAAAAGAGAAAAACCCCTCCCAAATCACTCCTTCCCATCCCACCCCCTCACAAAACTTCTTTTTTGTTGTTGTAAAAGTGGCCGCAGAAGCAGCAGAAGCAGCAGTAGAAAGTTGACCACTTTCCCTTTTTCACAGCCGACTATCCGTCTCTTCAGAGGTGAGTCAAGATAATTGGTTCCCTCAGGCGCTGTTTTTTATCTCCTTCTTCTTCTCGTTATTAAATGCAGCTTTTGGTGCCGTCTACTACACCTGTCTGCCAAGCTTCATCGCTGATGGGCGCGGCTGGGGGACCTTTGCCCAAATCTCTCTGTTCTAACTCGCCTGGGAAAGTTTCGCGAAGAAAAAAAAAAAAAAAAAACCCGCACAAAAGAACCGAAGGCTTAAAGACCGTCCCACCGCGGCGCGTCCGCTTCACATAAACGCGCTCTCCCTCCGCTGCACCCGAACGCTCCGTCCGTCCCGGCAGGAATCGGGCTTTGATTGTTTGTTTGTTCGAGCTGGCTGAAGGTACGGATTTTAACAACAATTACCTGGAGGCTTTTATTTTTCTATTGTTGTTATTTCCCCACCTGGCTGCTGCATCTCTGCACTAACTAATTGCTCTCTGGGAGTTTGGTGATGGGCTGTCTCTCATTTTTTGGGGCTTTATAGTTATATGCTTTGTAGTGTGGAACAAAGTCCTATATTATCCTTTTTCAAAACAACTGAAAGTACTTCATGGCTACTCTGTAACGTCAAGTTGGTTTTGGGATCATTTTTCCTCCGGTGGTTTCCATAAAATGACTCTGTTATAGTGATCTCAGGATAGTTTTACATGTATTTTTGCAGTGCTATTTGCATCCCTCTAAATATATTGCAGACCTGACTAGCACGGACCTTGTGTGTGTGTGTGTGTGTGTGTGTGTGTGTGTGTGTGTGTGTGTGTGTGTGTGTGTGTGTGTGCTGCACAGATCAGTTGCAGGCTGTATCAGTGAGTAGGTACAAATCGTGATGAAGCAAAGCTCCCGGTAGATTTAGTGTTCAGAAATGTTGGTTTAATTAACTTTTAGCTTTTCTTAGAGCCGAAAGAAACTCACTTTAATGAATTTTGCACTTTATAGTCTTGATTTTGGTTTTAGTAGGAAATGGGAGAAATGCCAGATTTCTTTTAATGGGGTATTAAAGTGTGAAGTAAATGAAGCACATGCTGTTAAATGTCCGTGGCCTGCAGGGTGTGGTGAGAGGATGGTATTTCAATGCTGCTCTTTTGTTCCTTTGTTGGTCTTCAAGGGCATAATGTGAGTACAAAAATGCATTGAATTATATAAATGATGCTTTTTACGCTCTGGGGCCTTTAGTGTGTTTTCATTGTTCACGTGACACTTAAAAATTGAAAGTTATTCGTTTTGAAATACAGTAGAGGTCTACAGTCTACATTTAATCAAAATCAGTAAAAGCAGAATGTTCGAGGGAAATTGGCTTCACTGAAACACCAGATTGTTTGTGACTTGTGATCATGTGACTGAGGACATTTTTTGGTCTTCAGCGGCATGAAATGTCGTATCGATGCATTAAACACAAGACACAAAAGAGCTGGTCTTTAACCCAAATAATTCTTGGAATAACAACTTGCATTTTGCCCCTTTCCCATAAAGTGTTAGCAAAAGTTCCATGTCCAAGGAATAAACCGACCTTTGACAACAGTTGGCTCATTAGATGCATGACTGTGGTCAACATTTTATCATCATCATCTCACCAGATAAAATGGGATGGACGAGTTAACGAGACAGATGGACTTCTCAGGAGGCCTGTCAGAGGAAAAGGGTGAGATCTCCGAATGTGTTTATGATGTATTTACAAAGCGTTCACCACGTCAACACAAGACAACGGGCCGGTTTCACACACAGCAGCAGGTGTTATAGCAATAGTTTCAGCGATCTACATCCATCTTCCAAAAACAATTCACACTTGTGGCGAGACGTATGAAAATATGACTTCTCATTTGAAAAGTTAATGACAGATCTGACACCCAAAACACAGACACTCTCATTTTCTTGAGTGATGCTTTTGTCTCTCTTTTTTGGGGGGGCTTTACTGTCTCTAACATCATGGCATGCTTCACTGGTGTCGGTTTCCATTTCTGCTTCTCGCTATCAGGGCGTAAGTCCTCCTCCGCGTTTTCCTGAATGTAAAAGGGCAGCTCATCTCGGCCCAGTGACTTTTGACACGGAGAAAGGAAGCAGACGCCAAGGAACGCCTGATTACATTTCTAACGCTAACCGAGAAAAACATTTAATGCGCCCCTTGTTTTCCTCGTCTTCCTCTCTATTTGTCACTTTTAAAAGAAAGTTGAGTTTGTATCCCGTAAAACACTTTGATAAAACGTTTGATACCAAGTGCTTTACAGAAGTGTTAAAGGACCAAGGGGAAAACAAGCTTATACATAGTTGGAAAAAGTAAAGATGATGATGATTATGATACACCGATTTGGCTTCTCCGGGACTTTGTTGGAGGTTGTTTCAAAGTCGAGGGACATTGACAAGGATAACATGACCAGCATTAGAATTTAACCTTGACTCTGAAACACATAAAAGTCCCTAAAAGCATGAAACTGAAATAGAATTTGTCTTATTTGTAAAAACTCAACAATCTGCCTCCTAGTAGAGGAAGGTGATGTATAAATATATTATATATATAGAGAGTTTTATGCTTCAAGACTCCCACACGGACAGAAAAAAGGGTCAATAAAAGTAGAAATCTGAGCACGAAGAATCGCTTAATTTACGTTACGTAAATGATTTAGCTGCTATTTCACTCTTTGTCTTGTGATAACAATTAATTGATCCCCGTGACAACGGAGCAAACTGTCTGCAGATGAAGGCCGTTAGATCTGGCTGAAAGCTGAAAAAAGAATCAAAGCTCCCAGAAAAGCTGACTTGTAAAATATACTTGTATTTCACTGGCTTTTAGTTGTTTATAAATTTGACAATAACCTATTACGTCATCTGTATAATTCCTAACTAAAACTAGTTTAACATTTTACACACGGTAATCGTTCAGAAAGTTGGAAAGTTGGAACTTTTATTTGCTGCAATTAACGGCTTATGAAAAGCAGTAAATCACTAAAGTAAAGCGTAATTAAACAGCTCCAAGCCTTTGATGATAAGATCGACTTTTAAGTTGCCAGGTTGAGGAGAATCTCTCTTATCTTCTCCTATCAATGACTCACCCTGAGTCATGACTAGTCGAGTGAATACTCAAAAGTGTTCAACTTTCTAACAAACCATAATAAGGTCATTTATAAGCATTAATAAGAGGCTACGCGTCAGGCCTAACAGCACCTAGAACTGTAACATTATTGACGATAAAGTGCAGCCTCTCGTTCCTTATTGCTTATATAAAGGTTCTGACAGTGATGATAATATTAATCCTTTTAGCATGCCATTGTGAATGTTAAAAACGTTGTAATGAATTGATTGTGGTTCAAGGAGGTCAGAGGTAAACGGTCCTCCTGAATGAAACAAAGAGTCAGAAAGACAAAGCAACTGTCCTGCTAGAGGAGGATAACAACCAACCTGGCAACCTAAAACTTTTTTCTTTGAAGTTGTTAGTTTTTGTATTTAAACACAAACTATATTCCAAAATGCCACTGAAAGTTTAACTACAGCGCCACACCGAGGGTAAATCTGACAACACTGTGTCAGTCAAAGTCACATTATTTTAAGCTTTAAATCGTCACTATGCTTGTCACTCAACACTCGGTCAGAACTTAGCGATATCTCTCAGGGTAACACAGTAATACTTTTCTCTGTTTTTCATGTGCTCAGTCGTGCGAGAAACGGTAACCTCCACGTCCAGGCTGACTTCTCTACCACCAAGTGAGTTTGTCTCTTTCCTTCAGGAAACGCTCGCTCCAATCACAAACTAAATGCACGATACAATAATTATAGCCGAGGGCTTCTGCAGAAAGCAGCCGATGAGTAACGGCTTCTCCTTGTTTTGCTGTGTGTCTTCTCGTTGCTAGAGGGAACCAGTGGATCAAATCACAGGAACATGTCCAGCGGTGCCGGGGGGTTGGGCTTGGAGAAGAATGTCTTAACCCAAAACAGCAGTGGAACTTATTTCACTTCATGTGAGAGCAAATTTCCACACGTGATCCAAAAGTGGGAAGCTGCGGCTTTTTGTCTTTGGACGAGTTTTGAATGTTGTTGTGTTTTAACCCCTCCGGTTATGAGAAAGAGAAGTATCGATTTAGATTTTGTTTCGCATCAATTGCAGTTTTTTAAGAACTTCCAGTTCTTTGCCGCTTTAAGTTGACTGGTATCGCTGCAGTTTACATTTTCTGGACAAAATGTATGAAGAGCTTATAAACTATTTGGCTTTGTTAAAAGTCAATATTATTGTTATTAAATATTCAACAAAAGATGGGACATTTTCAGAGGTTTTACAAAGCCGTCAATCAATCAATCAGTGAATTAATTGAGAAAATAATACATTTAAAAATAGCTCCACCTCAACCAACTTACTTACTCGTCAACCAAAGCATCTGCATACTACGTCCACCACGATCTACAGCGTCCTGTGATTTCAGAGGGGAAGTGAAACTTAAAAAAATAAAAATCCTATTTATTAGTCAGGAACATACATGTAATATTAAATCACTTCCACTTACCTAAACAGTCTCATTGCACAGCAGCTCTGCTGAACATGCAACATATTAAAGGTTTCTGTAAGGATAAAGTTCTAAACATATGGTGGATACAGTTAAAATAATAAATAAACATTGAATTGGCTGTCAAAAGATCAGTGTTTACAGTCGTGATTCATATTGTGTACTAATGGAAATTCCTCTGCAAATCAATAACTATTCACAAACCTTAAGGATACTAGTTAATCTACAGTGATTGTGTACCTCATTTTGTAGATCTTTCCATCAAATTGCTAGAAAACTAGAACCAAACATGACTTGTGAAATACTGCATTACCTTTAATGTATATATTGTTGCTTAGTTTAATACATAATGTATCATACTCTCGTTGTTTGTTTTGTTTTATGTAATAATCAATGATAAAGTAGCTGCAGCTGTCAGATAATTATACTTTAATGTGACTCAGGCATATTCCTGTCCGTGTAGACATGATCAGGTTGCAGGAAATCCAAAATAATCTGGATGAATCACCCCCCCCCCTCCCCTTTCCTCCCCCCCAGCGACTGTAGGTGTGAACACCAACAGCTACGGCTCCTCTTCAGGAGTCTACCCTGGGAGGAGACTCCTCGGGAGGTGATGGAGGGGGGATCTTCATAGACGGAGAGGGGTACGGAAGCGCAGGAGGAGGAAGAGGCGGAGGAGGTGGCGGAGGAGGTGGAGGAGGAGGTGGAGGAGGAGGAGGTGGAGGTGGAGCAGGCAGCAGAGGGGGAGGCAGTTATCTCGTCAGCTCGGTGTCAAAGGTCAGGTCCAGCTCGTCGGGTGGTGCCAGGAGAGCGCAGACCGCTGCCTCGTCAGGAGGCCTGTCGCCAGCTTCCCGGGAGAGGAAGAGCGTATCCGGCCGCTCGGGAGGTTACGACGGTGAGATCCTGCCATCACGAGAAGTTGGCATCGAGGGGAGCGTGCGAGGAAACGGGGTCGAGCACGAGGGCGCTGTTAATATCTCAATGTTGACTTCGTGCTTTCTTTTGTAGGAAGTTCCAGCGGCAATTCCTCCCCAGAGTTCACCCGTAAAGATTATGGAATCTATTGTAAGTTGGAGAGTCAGCTGTATGTGATTTTATACTTTGATGGGCGCAAAATATTTGTTCAGGTGTATCCTCACATGTCCGTCTGTGTGTTTTCTTTTCCCAGGCTCCAGTGGCACAAGAGGGAGGAGCGAAAGCAGAGGTATTCAACGTTATTATATTAAATTATTATTATTTCCGAACCATTTGACTGTGCATTGTCCCGGCTATTTTCTTATTAAATCAAGCTTTCTTCGTCTATTTTGAATGTGTATGATATATATATATATATTTTTTTTTTCTTCCAGAGAGCGAGATCAGAGCCAGATTACAAAGTGCCTCTCCCAGTGCCAGCAGATGTAAGACACATTCATCCATTGCCTATGTAATTTCTCACAAAGCAACAAAAGCATCTTTATTCGAGTGTATTCATTCAAAGTGCCACGTGGAGAGTGAAAGACTTTCTTTTTCTGCAGGGGTCACTTCAGAGCAGTGTGGCTCTTGAATTCCAATACTGTCAAATGCTTGTGCTCAACATTCCTTCTCTTCCACGCTGCTCACATGCAGGTTTACCTCCATGAAATCCCAATTAGTAACACATGTGCAGTTTCCCCCCGGACAGAATGTGCACAGTGCGTCGGCGCACAGCACAGCGTGAGAGTCAAACAATGAGGCCTTTTTTAGTTGTTTTGCATTGTGTTCGTGTGGGGAAGAAGTGGAGCGGCAGATTTGTGGAGGCAACAATAGAAAACATGAGTCACTCTTTGCAGCAGTTTGTCCGAACCACCCTTTCAAAGCGAAGCAGCGGCGAGGCAGAGCTTCACAGACGCTGATCGCTCCCCCTGCTGACGGCTGAAGGGCCTAACTGTTATTATTTTGTTCACATTTTTTAACAGATTATGTGCTACATTATCCGACCTCGACACAGCTGGGTCTCAGATTGCCGTACCGCTTAATGTGCAGAAGGAGGTTGAAGAAGTATTTACTACCTTTACTGTAGTAGAATAGAGCATAGTATGGAATTGGTACTTTAAACCTAGTCAAGTACAATTTTAAGGAACTGTTACTTTCCATTGTATGCTTCTTCCTAGTTTAAGTTTGTATTTCAGGGGGAAATGTCTTTTTTTAGCGGGGCTATGATTTGAGCACACCCACCCAGACAATCCAAGAGCGAGGTTAGCAGAAAGTAGCAGGTAGTACAACAACTCTGCCTTACCTGTATAACTGGAGCTTCTCTCAACAATGCGTTGGTTCTTCAGTTAAAATGATGAATGCAGCAGCATTTATTTGGTCGTATTATTTTGCCTCATCATTCTATTGCTGTGCTGCTTGCAGAGCTGACAGCGTTTATCTGGGGCCGACGAAATGTTGTATTGAAATCCAATGATGATGGAGGAAAATAAACGTAGCTTGAGTTATGCTAACTAGCTTAGCACATTTTAGCTATTGCCATTCGAACTCTGTTGAGCTTGATGTGATTTGGTGTGGTTTAAGCTACCTTCAGATCACACACACACTAATAAATGAATGTATTACAATGGTTTAAGTATAATGTATGAATACATTATACATATACAGTCGTGCTCAGGCTTAAAAGACTCAAAATACTAGTAGACTGAAGAAATTTAGGTAGGACCTATTGAAATGAAAGCAGAAAGATCTTTGTTACACAAGTTTTACTGCGTCTGTAGTCACGGCTCTCTGCCTAAGGTGTAGTTTGTCTCTTCAGTGAATATAATTGAGTAAAAAGTACAATATTTCACACCATTTATTGGAGGAGTTGTAGCATTAAGCGTTGTTCGTGCGCCTGATGTTTTGCAGGGACTGAGTTGGATGACGTGAAGAAGCTGCTGAAGGGACGCTCCTGCAGCGTCAGCCCCACCCGCTCCTCCAGCGCCTCCGTCACCCTCCCTGTCCCTAAAAAGGCCAGCGTGGAAACCAAGACCATCTCTGTGGCCTCTCAGTCGGGTATTTGACCGTACCAGAGTTTTTACCACTTTCACACGCTCTACATGCACAGATGCCTTGTCTCCCTCCTACAGATGTGTGGTTTTTAAATGGCCTCTCATGTGTTAGTATTACATCTGGGTGAAGCCTCAAATAGTTTTCCGCGGCGCAGATCAAATTATGTGCAATATATATCTCACCTCTCCCATCAATAGAGGTTAAACACACTTTGCATTGTGTTGATTAGTGTCTTTTCACCCCTGCAGGTTTGACCTCGTTTGGCTCTGGTGTGAGATCAGCCGGGTTCCAGACCATCGATACATCAGGCTTTTTTGATACTGGTCTGACATCTGAGCAGTTTGATTCTGGTGTAAAACCAGGCCACTATGATGTCACCCTGAAATCTGGGCAACATGATACTGGCGTTAAATCGGGCCACTATGGTGTTGGTCTGAAATCAGGCCAGTATGACACTGGTGTGAAGTCAGGACAATATGACACAAGTTTAAAATCAGGGCAGTATGACACCACTGTGAGATCAGCCCAGTATGATACTGGTGTGAGATCAGCCCAGTATGATACTGGTGTAAGATCAGCCCAGTATGATACTGGTGTAAGATCAGCCCTGTATGATACAAGTGTAAGATCAGCCCAGTATGATACTGGTGTAAGATCAGCCCAGTATGATACTGGTGTAAGATCAGCCCAGTATGATACTGGTGTAAGATCAGCCCAGTATGATACTGGTGTGAGATCAGTCCAGTATGACACCAGTGTGAGATCAGGTCAGTATGACACGCTGGACGCTACACTTCCCACTTTCTCTTGGTCCACCACGACTCTGCCATCCGCCTCCACCACAGTGATTGCCGGCAACACCAGCAGCAGCTACGCGTACCAAGGAGGCACCAACAACATGGCCGGCGGGACGTCCCCGGTCGGCCTGACGTCTCCATCGTCCCTGTCAGGTGAGACCAAACCTTCCTTAAATAGTCATTTCTTACCTGCAGGTGAAATGCCGTCGTACCTGTAATGAAAGGGAGGTTGTAATGACATTTTTTACCTCTACTCGTGCTATAGTGCTTATGGCTTTTATTATTTTTATTCATTTTTATATTTTTCACGTGCAGCCTGTGTGTCTTATTTAGAACGGAATCAAATCAAAGCCCGCATTTTTGTTTACAGTTTACGGCTTCCAGAATAATCTGGCTTCCACTTCTCCCAGTGTGCTCACCACTAGTGGAGGCAACGTACATGCCACCGTTGGAGGTACGGCAGCAAGTTCTGAAAATATCGACTGTACCTCACATTCTACATGCTTGCATTCACATACAATACAAAATAGCTAACTTTCCTTTGTGAGTGTTTAACTGTGTTTGTACTGACAGGTTATGGCGTTCAGAAGAACTTGTCAAATGGCGGCGGTGGTGTGGTCAGCTCTGGCGTCTCTACAAGTAAGTCTGTTTTAATATAATCTGACAGTTGTATCACATTCGAAAACAATTCTCCAACTTGAATTATTCCTTACTTTTTTTTCTTGTTTTTAGCCACCAGATCCCAAGCTGATGATTCGTATAAGAAAGACTACAAGTTCCTGGTCTCTGACAAGGAGAACGCTCCAGTCAAGAGGGATGCAGAGATGCTCATTTTGGCTAAAGACAGCGGGAAGCATTTCACCAGCAGCAGCGTTCAGATGGGAGGAGGTGAGTCAGCTCCTTCCTGCACCGCCTCTGGAGAAACATTACATGGAGTTCCTCAACTGTTTTTTTTTTTTGCAGACAATTTTGCCACTTCCTCTGTAGGTTGTAAAGCATTTAGCATCATATTAACTGAACAACCATTGTGTTTTAAATAATAGCATCCCATGAAGACTTGATATTGGTCGCTTGGAGGCAGTTAGTAGACAGTCCTGATCCCATTATTAAACTGTCTCAGCATAGATCCAACATTTCTGTTTGCATGGACAACCTGATCATAATTCAAATAAACCTTTAGAGTTGTTCTAATGGTTAAATGTAACAGATCATTTTAATTAGAACAGACACTGAAATAGTATCGTTATTACCTGTATGTATTTGTTGTGCAGCAAAAAACACGTTATATTTATTCTCTTTCATCGTTCCTCTTCCTTTTTAAGCTGAAGACATTTGCTTGATTACTTATTTTCATTTTATTCCCATTTACTTGTTTGTCTTTGTTGATAAAACCCTCTCTGCGTTGTGAATTCATGTATCGTATCACAATAAATATTTAGTAATATTGTGTATTCTCTTGTTCTTAAATGGCTACGTACTTGCAACAAGGTTCTCCTTGTTAAAAACAACAATGAACAGTGCAATAAACGTACTGTTTTAAATAAATGCTTCTAATTTTACAGGGTCGATATCAGGAGATTCAATGATGAAAGAGAAGCTTATTTCAAGCTACAGTGAGACAATGCCACTGAAGACAGAGAAAGGCAACTCCTACTGTGAGTAGTTATTATAAACATCCCAAAACCAAAAGTGCTTTAATTCCAGAAATAGATAATACATGTTTTTTTTTTTAATTCTTTCTCAGATGGTTCATCTGGAGTTGTAATGAAAGACAAAGCCACCTATGCAGGTATTTTTGACATCACATGTGCATGTTTACTTTAATGAGGAATATTTTAGTGTTTGAAAGCCAGGATTTTACACTCTGATCTCCGTCTTCAGAGATTCACAAGGAGAACGGCATCTTCGGAGGGGGAGGACTGTGCTGCTGCTCCGACGCCTGTTGCTCTTGGTGGAAATGGCTGCTGGGTCTCCTCCTCCTCTCCCTGCTCCTGCTGGGGCTCCTGTTTGGGCTCATTGCACTGGGTGAGTCTGTCTTATAAGACATTCCGACATTTGATAGAGGACAATAAAAAATCTCCCCGAAGAAAAGCCCTTCTGAGCCGCTGGGATACTCTGTGGAGCTGCTCCCGGGAGGGACGGCTTCCAAACAATAAAATGCGTGTTTCAGCTTTTACAAGCTGGTGAGCAATATTTCACTGTGCTGCTAAGAGCTGTGGGACAGTAAATGTACTCCCCTGCCTGGAAATGTGATCTGTGGGTACTGTCCCACTGCCATAAAGTCAATCTGGCATTCTCAGCAGAGCAGCTGCCGAAATGGTTTCTGGATGAAATCAGAGTCTGGCTGTTTGTTTTCCTGCAGCAGGAGACTTGTTGTTGTGAATTTTTCCTAAAAAAGTGAACCATTTGCTACCTCTGGTCTGAGGTATTCTTGTACTTTTACTTTTTTTACTTTTAAGTATTAGCTGCTACTAGCTGCTGACTCCATAGCGATGTATTTTCTAGTTGGCAGTTGTCAAATTTGAGTGTTACTCAAAGATGAGTGTAGATGACTACCATTCAAAGACCGGCTTACACATTTGGTAGTAAGCTACAAGATCATTTCTGTCCGTTAATTACCACAGTGAGGTAAACATTAAGCTACTATAAGTCACGAGGAACATTTACTATCTATTTATATATACCTGTATATGTTTGGAGTCAGAAAATGTTAGCCTTTTATCTTTATTATTTCTGTTTTTTAGACAAACCGTTTTATTAATATAATTGTTATATGCTTAAGTTATATTGTTATGATTTTTAATATTATGTTGTTCACCACCCAATTCCAAAAGATCTCATTTCTGTGTTGACTGTCCTTTCTACAGGCTACCTGTAAATTTAGTTGATGGGTTCGCTTATTTCGATTGGAAAGAAGTTTCTTCCCTGATGAACATTTAGTTTGTTAATGCAATGCTGTTCAATACTATAAAAACCTTTATTTTTTTCTTCACAAACTGAAAACACGCTGCTTTACATGGAAGTGAAAGTTAAATGAATAATCATTCCTCTTACCATGAAATAAGACACATGCAAACTTTAATTTTCAGAAGTCAAAGGGAGAGAAGGCTTCACCCCCGAATACATTCATAACCTGTGGAATATATATATATATATATATATATATATAATTTATTACAGATTGGCAATATTTTCTTTTCACCACCTAGGCATGTGGATGTGGTCCTTGTACGTCTGTCTCACCAAATGTTGACCACTCTTTCTCAGCTGAAGACGTGAGATCGCTGAAGAATCGAGTGTCTACGCTGGAGGCCGAGTCCTCGGTGGCTGCCGCTCGTACAAGCCGGTTCTCCGCTTCCTCCAATGACATCAACACCTTCGGGGCAGCCGGAGCCGGAGGTGCCGCGCACTCTGACAACGTGCTGCACGTCAACGCTGGAGGTGGAGGCTCAACCTCCAAAACTCGAATCGGCATTGCAGCGGGGCTGCTGCTCGTCTGCGAATCGGCGTCGACGTCATCGTCGGAGCCGGTTCCGCTGGCAACGGTTGGGGCCGGCGGGGTCACTCGGGAGCGGTGCTGCAGGCGGCGGTGCTGCAGGCGGCGGTACCAGCTTTAGTGGCAGTTCAGGCAGCAGTGGCAGTACTGGTACCAGTTCCAGCAGAAGTTCTGGCAGTTTCGCCAGTTCTAGCAGTTCTAACAGTTTTGGCAGTTCTGGCAGTTCTGGCAGTTCTGGCAGTTCTGGCGGTGCTGGCGGTGCTGCCAGTGCTGGCGGCACCAGCTTCAGTGCCACTGATCTGGGGACGGGAGTAAGCAGAGGACAAATAGACGCTGCCGCTCTTCAGATGACAATCCAGCAGATGTTGAGAAGTGAAATGAATTCACAGTCATACAGAGGTACTGCACATGTGTGCTGACTCTATGAATGTGCAACACACACACGCACAGAATTTCATTAAAGTGGATTTTTCTATCTCAGCTTTTATAGCGTCATCGGTGCAGGGAGAGCGAGGACTGCCTGGACCTAAAGGTGAAATTAAAATACCTATTTCATAAAATCTAAACCTAAAACCATAAAAAACCCCACAATAATTTACATGTTTTGTTTTTCTTTTCAGGGGACTCTGGATTTAAAGGTCAGAAAAAAAATCACCTGGTGTACCTGAAATTTAGTTGGACTGTTGCAATCTACTGTGGACTGACTTCATGATCAAATGTATGTTTTACTTCTCACAGGAGATTCTGGTTTCCCCGGACTTCCAGGTGAGCAATGATGTCATGTCCATTGAGTCAATAGCCAATTTTTTGGCATTGCTTTATAATGTAATTTTACTGCCTGTGACCTTTGACCTCAGGTGCTCCGGGTGCAACTGGACGTGCCGGCCCTGAAGGTCCAAAAGGACAGAAAGGAAGCCAAGGTGCAGAGAGAGCTTGCGTTGAAACTAAATCCTGAAAGTTCACTGTTTTAGGTGCAAATAGTGAATGATTTTATCTTGTGTGAGATCAGGTGATCACGGACTGGACGGCGCACCGGGCGTCAGGGGTCGCGAGGGTCCTGCTGGCTCCAGAGGTGAACCAGGACCTTCAGGCTTTGGATCGAAAGGTGAAAGAGGTATGACTCAGACTCTCAGCATCAACACAGTAATTGTGTGTATCAGAAAACACTAATGGGTCCCAGTTCCTCTTAAGTGTGTCACTGCAGTATCTCATGTTTGTTTCATGCAGGAGCCCCCGGGGATCCTGGGCCCGTCGGCCCGACTGGACAAAAAGGTGCGATCATTTTTACATTTCTCATCGTTACTTAAAAATCTAGTTGTTTGTTGCGTTTTTCATTTATTTTAGTCTTTAATTTCATCCTCAATGGAATCATAGGATCCATCACAGTCGCTAAATTAAGTCAAAGAGATTTAAACTACATGTTAACATAAAATGAATAGAAACAATAATGAAAAAAAAGACAACTAAGCAAATTGAGTCATTGTAAATAAAATAAGTACAATCACATATACATTTATTTTTTATTTTACTTGCTGACAAAAGATGCATTGGAACATTTCATTACCTCATTGTGTGTGAACACCATGCGGCAGCAGGTGGCGGCAAAGCCTCCATATTGTTCTGTGAAGAGCAAAAACAAGCTCTACCTCGAGGTAGACACAGTAGTTAGGAAGGTTTTTTATCTTCATTTACTGTATTGGAATTACTCATATTTTTGATAACATTAGTTCCATTAACAGTTAAAATATATAATCAATTAATGTATGTCAATAGAGTATAAAAACCAAACAAATGTGATTTCTTTGAATTCTTCAGGATAATTAGGCCTTTGTAGAATGTTATTTCTAGTTAATAGTCCAACATTAGATCATTAAACGCTCTTATACAACATAGTTTTTCCTTTCTAATGATTATTATTCTATGATCCAGGTGTTCCTGGAGTTCATGGTCTTTCTGGAGCACCAGGTCAGTTTCTTCCAGCCAAGATTTATCTAGAGCATTACAGTGACTATAGAAACAGCATCTGAGTTCAATTAAATTTACCAACTGAAACTACTGTTTGACTGAAGCCTTTGTATTTTAAATGAGCCATTTTGTCAAACGTCAACTAGGTATCCAGGGCTTCCGTGGCGAGGCAGGGGAACCTGGACCTAAAGGTTGGTCACGTGGACCTTCTTCAGTGGAAAAACACATGGAAATTCATTCAGTTACATCCAATAATGTCACTAACTTTGCCCCTCAGGTGACAGAGGCCCTGCCGGACTTCAAGGACTTAAAGGTTTGTACTACGTCTGTTTGTACTACGTCTTGTTTCTCATCACCTGTGAGGTCGGTGAATGTTCCTAACTGTATTTTATCCACGTTCTTCTCAGGTGAAACCGGTGACACAGGTCTCCGCGGTGTCAAAGGTCGGTAGAGCTTTGTAAAGCTGCACAATCAGCATGTTATAAACTTTATTCAGTTTTATTAAACAGTTGCGTTACTTCTCAGGTGATTCTGGGCAGCACGGGGCGGCAGGAGAGAGAGGACCCAAAGGGTCCATCGGTGAGTCACAGAGGCTCCAGCCTCTGACGATAATAATAATAAGAGTAAGAATTATCAAGTATTGTGCTCAGCTTAGTACAAAGACAACGAGCAGGAGAGAACAGCTAGACGCTCTCTGTCCAAACACATTTCACCCACCAATTAACAGATCATATCTGGTTTGTTTAATCCAAACAACAACAAAAAACATGGTTACAGTTAACTTATTTATGGGCGGTTGACAATTTCTTGACTGGAATCAGATACTTCCTTGAACTGGTTGCCTGGAAAACAAACCGCTGTCTTTTTAAACAACATTTCCCTTTAATGTTAATGTTGATGTTGATTGAAATAAAGGATCAAGAGGTAAACGAGTCATCATACAACCTTTAAAAATACATGTATATAAATATTAATTTGATATGCACAAGGACATTATATTTTAAATATCACTCAAAGGTGTCATTTTTGACCCTCAGGGGACACTGGACCTGCTGGGCCACCCGGACTCAGAGGTCCTACTGGGCCTCCTGGAGATGCATCACTTCTAGGTAAACTGAACATGACCTTCGTGAAACTCGCTCTGCAGCTATTTCAGCGTTATAATAAGTGGATGTTATGATAATCTATATCCATGATACCCCCCCCCCCCCCACACCCCACCAGGAGTCTCTGGGTTCCAAGGACCACCAGGTACAACTTTTCTATCCATCACAAATTCTAGATTTCTTATTGATGATCGGACACAATAATTTGAATCCGGTCAACACAACAACGTACATGTGTCCTGCTTTTAGGGATACCGGGGAGTCCAGGAAGACCGGGCCCTAAAGGTACAGCTGCTTTTAACTTTAGCTTTCTTCAGGGCCGTCTGCTGCGGACAGCGAATGCTGCCTACAATATCTAGAGTAGTATTAATCTGTGCGTCTTGTGTGTTTTAGGGGAAACAGGTGAACCAGGAAGGGTCATCAATGCAGGTAACTGATCAGGATAAAAAACGTTTTATTTGACCTTATTTCTGATTATATTATATTTTTGAAGATATCTAAATATCCTTTTTATTTATTTTCCAGCTGGCTCCACGTCTTTCGGCATTCCGGGACCACCGGGGCCTGCTGGCCCTCCCGGTCCCGCGGGTCCTCAAGGATTATCAGGTCTGACCCTTGACATCTGCATTCTGCACGTCTTGCAATTCAGCCCTGCGATACAAACTTTGTGATTAACCTCCTCAGGTCCCGTTGGCCCCGCTGGTCCGCGCGGCCTAACTGGTAGGTCACCCAAAGGATACATTGTTAGATCAGATTTGTTGACATCAGCGTCCCATCAATGCTGCTTTGTTTGTTTTCACAGGGGTTAAAGGTGACAGGGGATCCAGAGGAGAGCAGGGAGAACAAGCAATAAGTGTGAGAACAAGTGAAAGCTCAAGTAAGTACCCTCTTTGTTTTTAATGGTTTTCTTTAAGTCATGTGCTAAGCGTTGATGTATACTGATGCCTTACTTAAGTAAAAGTACAAATAAAACACAAATTTATAATCTTAAATAAAAGTGTACTTTAATAATTTTAACTAAAAAAAACATTGATTATATTATTGGTGGTTGTTTTCTCAGATAATTCATTGATTCTTTGGTTTGTAGAAAACAGTGAGAAGCCCAAAGTGAATCAGTTTATTGCAAATGTCCACTTGTGCTGCTTTAACTCACTACTAGCATTTAATATGATCCTATAGCAGTAATCTTTAAGGTGATTTACTTCATTTTCAGCCTTGTTTGTCCGTCTCTGCAGACAAGAAAACTGTTCCTCACTTAAAAACATGTGTGTCTGTTTGCGCCGTAGGGCAGTTCAGTGCCAGTGGAGGTTCAGGACAACCCGGCCCACCCGGCCCACCGGGTCAACCTGGACGTCCAGGTAAATAAAACCCAGCATGCTTTGTTGCAGCATTATCAAAGACAACATCTTTAATGGTGGACGAATTACCACAGCGTTCTTCAAATTATGTTCCTGACTGTTTTAAATATGTTTATATTAGGGGATTCGAGACAAGGACCCCCAGGACCACCTGGGCCTCCAGGTCCTACAGGCAAGTATTCAAGCTCCTAAATCCACTGTTTCAAATACGGATGCTGGATCACATGGTGTTTTTGGTACTATGTAAATTTCATCCATTGTTTATAACTTCATATGTTTTAGGATATGGAAGACCTGGACCTAAAGGAGACAAAGGAGATGCAGGCTTTGCATCCAGTGGTATGATGTGCTGGTTGCTGAATTCAAACTTGAGATGATTGTGGGTTTTATTCGTTGTTAGCAGTAACAGAAACACTGTGCCTACTACAGGAAATCTATATACTGGACAACCGGGACCACCCGGACCCCCTGGACCTTATGGGCCCAAAGGATCAACAGGTAATCAATCAACTTTTGTGATGTACTCACATTGTCAGCTTCATTCAAAGAAACATACTCGTGTGTAATCTTTGTAATACTCAATAATAACATCCCGACCGTTATTTTAGGAAGTCCTGGACCAAGAGGTTACCAAGGTAAGTGTATCTCATATATGAATCACTCACTCTTTCACCAAGTGATCAAATTATTCCCATTAAATAATTTGCTTCAACAAAAACAGTATATACACAAAAATAACAGTTGCATCATGTGCGTATCAGGTGAACCAGGCCAACCAGGTGTGCCCGGTACCCCTGGAAGCTCTGAGAGAGGTCAGCATCCAAACACATGTTACACAAGATCCCATTAGAATTGTATTAGAGAGCCACACTTAAAAGCCGTCGTGCAGGTGTGATACACGGTGACTCTGTGTTTCTTCATTTTATGACTTACAGTGTCGACTTACAGCGCAGGAAACGGGATCCCTGGACCACCGGGTCCACCGGGACGTCCTGGACTTCCTGGGCCACAAGGAATTAAAGGTACCAGTGCATGAAAACTTCAGAATGCTGTCAATGTTTCATTGTCTGTAGTTCAGAGTAAATTCTGTGTGCGTCACATGACAGGGGAGCTTATGTTCTTTCTATTTCTAAGGGGACACAGGAGCTCCTGGCTTTTCTGGCTCTTCAAGAGGTACAGGAAATGATCAAGTCTAACGTCAAGTTTTTTTAAAATCTTGAATGAAGCATGAATAGTTTCCGGTAGCTTTACATGGTTATATTTCTTTCTGGAGGTTTACTATCTTATTTTTTTTCCCAGGCTCCATCTCAGTCACCTCAGGGCCTCCCGGCCCGGCAGGTCCTCCGGGTCCTCCTGGCCCCACGGGCTCCTTTTCAACTTCTAGTGAGATGCGTCTGTACATCAGTGACTATCTAAGTAAGAGTTTTTCTGAAACAAATGCTCACAGGCTGTCAGAGGTGCAGAACAGAGACTGAACCAGTTTTATATGTTCTTTGCAGGTAGAAGCAGACAGTCTAGTATCCCCGGACCTCCAGGTCCACCTGGACTTCCAGGAACCCCAGGAACCCCAGGAACCTTCTCAGGCTCTATCGATGACATCGCCACTCGTGTCATTGCATATCTACAACGTAAGCCTGTGCTTCTCCCCAGAAATGACACTAATAAATGACAGTTGGAGGCATGTTTACGGATGGCGCGGAATAGTAGCAGATCGGTTGCCACCAATAACTGAGTTCTCCTTTTTTAGGTTCTGGCTCAGGCTCCAGCATTGGTCGTCAGGGTCTTCCAGGACCACCTGGTCCACCTGGACCCGGCTCTGGGTCCCTGACGGTCAGCGGTCTCATTATGATGCTTCAGAGTAAGTACGAGTCAGGTGTTATGTGATCCCCAGAGCACTCTACTGTTTCTGTAAACCCTTCAACATTACCTCATTTGACCGTGAAGACCGAGAAGCGGGATCTCCCCACAACTATATCTCTTTGCCTTGGTATGTCTAGGAGACGATGTGAGGAGATATCTATCCGGACCACCAGGGCCACAAGGACCACCGGGACCACCCGGCCAATCAGGTGGCATTTCAAGCAGTTACAATATCGAGGAGATAGCCACATACGTCTTTAATACGATGAGAGGTAGGTAACAGAAAAGCAATAAACCTGCCAGTGATACTTGTACTTCATCTATTAGTCAATCATGTAATCAATCAACCTGCTTTTATTGTCATTTTTTTTAGAAAGAGGGATTGCAAGAGGTCCGCCCGGACCGCCCGGTCCTGCTGGGCCTGCTGGTGCCGGGGGCTCTGGCTTCACTACCGCTACGATTGACTATACCGCACTGATGAGAAGTGAGTCACTGTGTTTTACATTTACAAATAGCGTATTGTTGTTGAACAGTTAGTCACTCGCTCATCATCTGAAAACAAAAAAGTGTAAACGTTTAAGCTTGTTGCGTCTTCGTATTTCTTAGATTCAGACTTCCGCTCTTGGATTAATTCGGCGGTACAACACGGCCCTCCTGGTTCGCCTGGTGTCCCGGGGCAACCTGGCCCCCCTGGTCCTCAGGGGCCAGCAGGAGTCTCCACTTCCACTGTGATTGGGTCGGGAGGTCGTGGCTACAGTTTGGAGGAAATTCAGCGTTACCTGCAGAGTGAGTCCGATTGAATTAACTGATTTATTTAATCCATCAAATAATCTTTATTACACTGTATACAGTACAGTTTAAATGGTAACACTGATTACATTATATGTATAAATATATCAATTAACATAAATTCATAGTACCCTCAATTTAAATTATAGCATTGATTACACTGAGCAGAGGAAGAAAATACTAATCTAGTTGAAACATAAACTGTATCATAGATTGCCTCCCTGAGATGATATTCATTGAAAACAGGATAAAAAATGTATACAGAATCAAAAGAGACTTGAGTTCCTCTCTACATCACTGCAGCCAGGATGTTAAGTTCTTCTTTAATGTAATACACCAAGACAGCCGTGCATGTAAGCATCATTTTATGCAGGGTAAGATTGAGTTACAGACGTGTTCAATCAACTCTTTTTTTTATTGTCCATTCCTGATCTTGTTTACAACGACATTAGCATGACAATAACACTGAGTTGAATGTTTCTCAGGTTCTGGTTTCCGAGGTATTGCCGGCCCTCCTGGTCCTCAGGGTCCACAGGGACCTCAGGGTCCACCAGGCAGTTACAGTGGACTGATTTCCTATGATGGAAATCGGGAGCGTCTTCGCGCCGAAGTTCAAGAGTACCTGACCAGTGAGCTCCAAACGTCCCACGCAGACAGATTGAAGACGCGCGAGCGTGGACAAGTGCAGAAATCACCGATAAACTTTTATCTTTCAGGTGACGTTGTCCGTCGTTCCATCATTGGACCCCCGGGTTCTCCAGGGCCGAGGGGTCAGAAGGGAGAACAAGGAGAGCCGGGCTACACCCAGGGCTACGCCCAGAGCCAGAGCTACGCCGCGAGTGACCCTAGATACGGCTCTGAGCGCCGCAGTGCCGACATCAGCAGGCTCGCTGAGAACCTGGATTACTCCAGCGTCGCCATAAAAGTCACAGACTACATCAAGAGTGAGTCGGCACCCGCTCAGATCTCAGACGTTGCCAAAAAACAACCATAAATTTGTTTAGGAATCAAATGAGAGGAGCCTTGTTGCCGTCTCCTGAGCTTTGAAGAGCAGAGCTCCTCTGATGATGACTGATGCTGTCTCTTCAGCACTTTGATATATGTTCCCTTGTCTAGATCAAGGCCTGCTGCAGGAGTATCTGGTTGAGGGCCCTTTGAGGGCGAATGTGAGAGCAATCCAAGGCCCTCCCGGTCCACCTGGCCCCGCCGGACCTCCCGGTCAGAGCCGCGTCATCGGTTCCTATGGCAACGTCACGGCTGACCTCATGGCGTTCTTCAGAAGTGAGGATACGGAGACTTGCGTTAAAACTTAGCAGCAATAAAAAATGCGACTCATGTAAGGGTAGTTGATAAATGTTCGTCACAACAGAATGATGTGCTTTTGCAGCGTACGGCACCATCTCCGGACCTCCAGGGGGCCCTGGACCAAAGGGTGACAGAGGGTACCCGGGACCCAGAGGAGAAAAGGGTACACGTACACAGAGCAGATGAGACACAGCGTATTTTTTTTGACGTGATTAAGAATATCAAGACTGAAATTTTCTTGTGCTCGTGCTTGCAGGTGACCCCGGGCACCCAGGTTTGGCGGGACTACCGGGGGCCTACACTGTCCAAATTCCACACCGGGTGCAGAAAAGGGATGCAGGTAACTGAAGGCTGACGCGGTAAAATCACATGAAAACAAAATAAAAGACGTCTAAATGGGATTTTTTTTTTTTCATCCATCCATAGGTGGTAAAGTCGTTGGTCGTCGCCACCGTCGTCACGCCAACGGTGGCTAAGCATACTGCTGGATCAAGTCAGATTCATTTTTAGTCAACTTTTTTTAACGTGTTTTAACTGTAGCAACGCAAGTAGTTGAATAGCTTCTAATTGTTGCCAGCTGTAGAAAAATCACCTGATAATTTAATAAAATAAAGGGGGTTAAAATGTAATTTGTTTAAAGGGCTAGACTAGAGGCATGGATTAAGCTGCTGGCCGGTGTCGTCACACAGACTTGATTATTTTAGACGGGTGTATAATGTTTACTTTTCTAATCAAGCTTGCAATCCAACTTCCTTTGCAGGTGCACCTTTGTTTAAGAGGGTATCTATCATTAAGCAATACATAGTAGTGGTAGTTTAAGTATTTTAATTGCACTTTGCCTCTTTTCGCAACACTCATGTAAATTGAGTTACTGGTGTACGTTTGTTTTTTTATGTGTGTTAAATGGTAAATCAAGGAAACCCTTCAACATTTCATGAAATACTTAAATATTGGCAGATTATCCATATAAATCTAGCCATTTTTTATCTATTCACCCTGAATAAATTATAAAACAAAAAATTAGTAAATACATAAAGGAATGCATCATTACCATAATCATTTGTGCAGCAAGCGGACTTTGCTACAGTAAATATTGCTGTAGTGAAGACTAATGATTTACTTTAGTTTGTTGGTAAAATAAATACAATTGTTTGCATCGTTGAAAAAGATCGGACTGTATATTTTTGTATGAGAACGCACTGAAATTGATATATTTTCTTTAAACCAGTAAGTGTTGAAAAGATTCAATCATAAAATGTTCCCATGTCATGTTTATCGTAATTCACTAATTAATTCATCTGATCAATATATTTGAAGAAAAATAAATCTATTTTTGGACTTGGGAGTCTTGATGTTCACTTGAGGTGTTTCCAGACATTTAAAGGGCCAAACAGTCAATATTTTATTTACAACTAAAGAAAAGTCACTTTAAATACATTTGATCTGACGTCAAAAGAATGTTAAATGTGGTAGAATGAAAACTTATCCAAATATGGTTAACTTAAGCAAATAAAAAATATGTGAAATCTATGGGGCATTTGGTGTAATCTCCAAATAACTCCAATTAAAGCCCAGCATTCATGACAAAGCAATAGCCAATGATGTCAGCATACAGAAATGATAACATGCAGGATATGCAGTGACAAAATAAACTAATCAGGTGTCTTGAAATCTCTTTTTGTAACACTTTTGATCCCAAAATACAGCAAAGAACATCATCTCACACGTTGAAAACCCAAAACATTAACAGCTTTATTCCTTTCACACAACACTAGTCTCCTGAGCAGAAGAGCAAGTACAGCATCAATATTTCCAGAATACATATTTAGAAAACAAGATATGATCATAAAATACTAAAGTAAAATGATATGTAAAAAGAAAGAGACAATTATGTCAGTTTGAATAGGCTTGGGTGAGACAAAGGTGACTCACTGTCAAAATACGGTGACAGTTTTATTACTGCATATTTATTCTTTAGCTCATGAGGCAAAAACAGTGCAAAGAAACCGCTTTACATTCCTTCAGCTTTCATATATTACGTATTCCATCATTCTCCTTGAAGAAGCAGGTCACCCCTGCGCTTTACTATGTGGACATTAGCACAAATTCTTAGGACCTTCATATCCGATTAAACCCCACATGTCGGTACACAAGTAACGTTTCACTCAGCGCATCATTTACAACACAGTACATTCCTTTTAATTTGAACTCACAGCACTTTGGATCCCAACGCATTGCTGTTTTAGACTCCATCTTCAGACCACAGCATAACAAATCTCCCTTGCATGCAGTGACACAAGATCTCTGTCCGTTTAATCTCCCAACATCTTGTGGGTGGAAACGATAACCAGTTATTTAAGTGCAAGACATTCAGGGGGAACTTGTGTATTTACTGTAAAACACTGAGGGCTGCAGACACAGAACAAAAAAAAGAACAAATGAGGCACTGGAGATCATTCATACTGAAGCAGGCTGTGCTTAAAATACGCTACCTATTGCAGGCTTTTGAATTTTGAACATGCTCCAAAAAGTGCATTTCACTATCATTGGACATTTCTCAAATAGCTGAGAAAAAAAAAAGATTTAAGTGAGGGGACCTGTGTGTAAGCACGTCATGCTCACTAAACGGTGGAATCAAAGCCCAGTAACGGTGGGAGAAATCACGCCGCTCCATCTGGAAGAGTCCGTGAGCGCGGCCGGGGGTTCCGCGGGAGTCCGTTCCGTGGCGCAGACGAAACGGACGGAGGCTATAAACCAGAGTTGTGCAGGTTCGGGATGGGGTAGAATTTGGATACTCGACTCTGGGTGCTGGGGTTAAGGCATTCGGATTCGCCGCTCATCTTGAAGAAGACCTCCTGCTCCTGGAGCTTCCGTGTGAACTCGTCCTCGAGCGCCTGCGGGGGGCAGCAGAGACAAACATCCGAGAGGCTCCAGTTACAAAACTTAACCTGCAGATGGAGGCTGTGAGAGACGGGTGGTCTCAAGTCAAAGTGTAGATGGATGACGGAGTATACCTTCTTCCTTGGTCTCAGCTTCTCTCTCCACTCCTTTATCTCTTGGCTGTGCTCCTCATCCAGCTCCTTCAGCTTCTGAGTCTCATGTTCAATCAGAAGGTGGCATTTCTCATTCTGAAGAAGATGTGGGTTAAGTTAATGTGTGTGCATGCCAATATTTAAAAGAGAATGCAAAGTCCATGCTTAAAATGAGGTGTGTGTGTTGTTTGCCAACCTGCAGCTGCTGCAGCTCCCGGATGTTCGAGTCACACTGCAGCTGCAGATCTCTCATCTGGTTCTCGTGTTTCTGGTGTTGATGGAGCCTCTCGTTCTTCTGCCTCTTGTCTTCCTGAGAAGCAAACTGGACACCGAAACAGTTAAGAGTTATTTGTTGATTTGTCCTGTTTGCAGAACAGGGGTGTTTTTAAAGCTCGTCTGCTCGTGCGACACGCGGTCGGCACCGATGGAGCCGTTGAGTGCTGATTATGCAGAAGCTCAAGTGAGCGACTCGGCCCGCAGAGCAGACCCATTTCAACCATTTCTGTCACCTGTTTTATCCGTTCCCTCTCCTGCTCGGGCGTGACCGCTGCCGTGGCGGTGATGCGGATGCTCTTCTTGAACATGGCCATGCGGGTTTTGGCCTCGCTCCGCTGAATCTTGGGCAGACGAACCCTCTCTTGGTTCTGTTTGTTCTTCATCTCCTCGAACATTCGCTGGTTGTAGCGATGCATCTGCTCCATCTCCTGTAAAACACACACACGCCGTTTTTGAGTTTAGAAGCATTACGTAAGATGTAATCACTCGTCCCTCCCGGCTCTCACTTTCTCATGCCTCTTCAGCAGCTGGTGTCTCTGCAGGAAGTACTGGTCTTTCAGCTGCTGCTTCAGCTGCTGGTGCTTCTCCTGCAGATGGCGCTCCTCTAACTCCCACATGGCCGCCTCTCGAGCTGCAAAACACACACACACGTACGCATGCAACAACACAAAGAACATCCCATGAGGCCACTTATGTGCAAGATGCACACGAACCGCATGCGTCAAATTAACCGATATGTGACTCGGGCAAGTTTCCATGGCTGTAGAAAGGCTGATTTAACCGGCTAAGTGGCACTTCCTCCATCTCGTACCTCTCATCAGCTGCTGCTTGTGATTCAAGCAGTCTCTCTCAATGGTGGTGATCTCCAGTTTGTGCTGCTGGATGATTTTCTTCAGAGCTCCGTCCAGCTCTTGCTGCTGCTTCTGTAGGAACTCTTGCTCCTGAGGAGCCAGAGAGAGGAGAAGCCGTGAGCGGACGCCGGGATGATCGTGCAGAGGGACAGCAAAGAGCAAGAAAGACAGGGCGCAAGCCATCCAACTTCAACTTCAGAACAACACAGAGCACCAAGATGTCACATCATCAACTGGAGCAGAAGAGGGAGACACTCAAAAGATCATGGATGGCGACGATCCACAGTGGAAGTGAAGAGAGAGAGCGAGTAAGGAAAGTTAACAGCGGAGTGTGGATTCAGATTCACTGTTTTATGTTGGACAACATCAACATTGACGTTCACACACCGTTCAGAGCTCAGCCTACATTATGCACGATTCATAGGCAGCCAGAATTATATAATAATACACAAAATAGGTTTTGTCTATTTGGCTGGTGGTGAATTGTCTTTTACATACTGTTGTATTTATTAGATACACTATTAAACACAATTCATAGAATTGATAGAATTCATCCTTGTCTGACAGAGACAAACATGGACTAATAGAGACGACTAACAGAGAACAAGCCCTTTGCTCCCAGGCTCCACCGCGACGGTGCGATACAATACAAACGCCATTTAAAAATAACACAGACTAGACGTTGAACACTTGTGAATTTGGTGGAGGAAAAAGTCCCGAGCGGGAGAGAAAAAGGAGAACAACTACACAAAACACAGTGATGACGACACTAAGAACAAAAGCGACGGCCATGCGGACACGGCGTCGTTCTTAAAACTGAGCCATCACAGACTATCCTGTCAGTACGGGCCAGAGACGGATAGAAAAACAGGGCGTGGAGGAGGGGGGGGGGTGGACTTACATCCTGCATCTGAGCGTTGAACAGTGCGCATGACGACAACTGAAAAGACTGTATCATAACCTGGGCCACTGCCTGCGGAGGAGAGCACACGGCGCACTCATCCTGATCAGGGACAAACAGCACACAGCAGGGAGAGGATGTCTCACACACACACGCACGCACACACACACGCACATTCTGAACTATATTCAATAGTTTTTGGCGCACGGCTCCCGGCAAGTCAATGAATTAGTTGTTAATACTCTTTGGGTCTTCTCATGCGTGAAAAGCGGCACTTGAGCTTCACACAAAACAAAAAAAGAAAAAAATAGCGGTTTTATTTCGGCCCGTGCTTCTGTCTCCAGTCCGTGTGTCACCCCTCAAGAGTCGGGTCTGCCAACGCTCGCTTCTTTAGATGGATTCGCTACGCGATGAGCGCTCGACGGTACCCTGCGGTAAATAGTCATTTGAGAGTGGACACAAAGTAGCACTTGTGACCAACAGTTCATACCCCAAGATATTCATGCGACTATTAATGTGCACCAAGAAAAATGTGCACCAAGAAAAACATGTCAACGGTCAGTTTGTGAATCTAAAGTGGGCACAACGCGGCGCTGCCCATTAATGGCATTCCCTCCCCATAATAGCTCAATAAACCCACTCATGGACGAGATTGTGAAATCCGTTGACGGATTTGGAAAAATAACAGACAAAAGTCTTCATGTTCATGAAAACTCTTCACACGATTGAGTTTATAGAAAGGTTAAGAAGAGAGAGAGACACAGAGAGAATCTTGTAAAGAGTTGAGACACAGCAGGTGACTGTTTACCTCGGAGTTCTTAAGGAGCAACAGATCCTCCCTTACGCGTTTCATGAGGTCTTTTCTCATGTGTTTGGGGGACTGTCCAACTTCCTGTTTGGCCTACGGCGTACGTGCAGAAAAACGTGGTTGGCGCTGTGCATTCTGAAAACCTAAACCAAGCTGGTCGACAACCAGCGGACGACATGCACGGCCCACTTTGCCAGGGAGAGACACCGAAGCCAGCCACCAACCGAATCAGAGTCAGCATGCTCAATTATGTTCCTTTGAACGATCAGTCAAGTCCGTTTTGGATTAGTAGCACGTCGGAAGTGTCGACTGCATGAGTCAGGAGTCAAGAGATGGGGGTTGTAAAAAAATAAATAAAAAAAGATAAAGGAGAAATCAAACTGGTCTCCGGCAGACGTTAGTGTCAAACAGCTGGTCCTGTATGACTCTGCATTCAAATCCGTCCGTCACCGAGATGATTGTTTTGCCTCTGGAGATGAATTAAGAGTAACAGATTTGGAATCATCGCTGACTACTTCCTCTGCATGTTTTACAGACCGGCAACCTTTGACCCACTTCACTTTCCTGTGAAGTGCGAAATGATTCTTTTGTTTATTTTTCTTCTTAGCCATTAAGTGTTTTCTGTTCTTTTATTTATTCAAGTCTACTTCTCTCTTTATGTTTTTGTTTATACTGTAGAATCTGCGTTGCTGTGACGCTACTTCCTCGACATACAAGTTGAGGATGATTCCATATAAGTTACTCTGATGCGAGGCTGTTATCATTTCCCCAAAATGAGCCCAACGCCACTTTGAGAAATCTTCAAATGTCGGCCATCCCACGAACCAAAGCCACCTCCACACACTCATACAAGAGACATGGTTAGTTAAACACACAATAATAGTACATCTGGAATACAGAGCAAAACAATAAATACTTACAAAAAAGAAAAGTAGATAAATATTACAGTACATAGCTGAGAAGCAACACCTTTAAGCCAAGCAGCAATTACATCTTTAAGTACAATAAATATACTCCAAGTGGCCCGGAAAGCAAATGGCGAGCAGCATGAACCCCCACCAGGCCTCATGAATACACAAAGGCTGCCAATCTGCACTGACGCCATCAAAAGAAAGCTGCAAAAAGCCACTAAACACTGAAACTGCACGCGCACCCCGAACAGCCAAAGAAGCGTTTAAGGAAGCACAATAAAAAAGGTGTTTGTTAAACTTGGGACTGAATTTGTATTCAACCGTTCACTAAATAGTTCTCTGAAGAAGCACAGTGCTGCTTTGGAAGGCAACCGGAAGCCTCGGGGGGGCAGATTAATAATGCAAACGACAACATGGAGCTATAGCAGCACGTAGGGCCGCCGCTGTCATTGGCACACGTGCAGAACAAGCACAGCAAGGCACACCGCTCCCTCGGGGTTTAATGCCCCGCAGCCCAGTTTGCCGCCGGCTTACCGCTTAAACACATGCACCATTAAACAGCTCGGACCCCCCCCCCACTCCCCGCCCCCCCGCCGGAGACACTTGCATGCAGAAAGCGGCCATGCGCCACGGTACCTCTTTCTTCCGGTTCTTCAGCATGTTTTGGAACTTGGACAGCTCCTTGTCCTGATCCGCCTTGATGCGTTTGGCTTCGTCTCGGAGCCGGCTGGTGTGGTCCTGCTCCAGCCGCTCGATGGTCTGCTTCTGCTTCTTCTCAAGGTTCTCCACTTCTTGGTCATACTGACGCTTCTTGGCCTGCGCGGTGCAGAACCAGCGGAAACTGGCGTCAGCCCGACAAGACGTGTTTATACTGTAAGTTTAATACGTAACCCGGCCTTTTAAAGAGGGGGGAATTAATGGTGGAAGACATTGGTGTGGTTTCAACTTGGATTGAAGTTCTTGATATCGTGATCACCAGGGATTAAAGGAAAATGGACACTGTTGGAAGGGACTGGTGTCTAGCTGCATCCTCCATGTTAGTAGGTACGAGGCCCTTTCGTGAGCTGCTGAGATGAAGCAGCTCGTTGCCCAGATAACAAAACAACACATCACACCACCGCGGAACGAACAACGTGACTCACCGCGGTTTCCTGTTCAAAGCGTCGGAAGATCTGCTCTCTCTGCTGCTGCAGCTTGTTGCTCAGCTGCTGCTGGGCCCTCTGCTCCTCTTTCTGCAGGAGGCGCAGCTCTCTCAGCTCCTGCCGCCTGAGGAAACAGCAGCGACGTTGTGGTCAGGGGGCCACCGTACCGGCTCATCGCAAATGAGGACATGTCACAAAAAAAAACAACATCCTTCTTTTCTTAGATGCGATTCTATGTTGTTGTTGTTTTTTTCCCCATTGTCATCATTATATTTAGTTGCCTCATCTTTGAACGAGTAGTTGATCAATTGAAACACATGCCAATTCTTTGATTGAACCCAACACCAAATAGTCAGACATCCGTTGTGTAAACACTGGGAGCAGCACGCCACATGTCTTTAAAAGGCGAACACGGGAGATGACAGCAGCACGCTGCAGCATTCATCACAGGAGATAAGCATCTGGCATTTGTAAAACTCTTGTGCGAGTTGTGAACTGAACAAGAACGATTTAAGGCGTTAGCATACTTTACGAGCTGCAGTAACTTAAAGCGGGTTGGATTCCGACGTACCTCAGGAACCTCAGCTCCTCGCTCTTGGTGTCGCTGTCCGTCACTATCTTCGACGTCGTCACGCTGACCTCCACGCCGTCCACCATGAACTTGCGCGTCTTCTTCAGGGTCTTCTTCTGACGTCTGGACTCCTACGAATAAAATCAAAATGTTGATGGTTGAACCGCCGAGGCTGTGATTGACGCGTCCCCGACGCATTACCTGCATGGACACGGAGCCCCCTTCCTTGGTCTTCGACAGGAAGCTGGAGATGGACAGGTTGAGGTCAAGGCTGTTGCTATCGGCGGCAGAGCTGCTTCCGGAGTCGGAGTCCTTCTCTAAATCCGGCTGAGCCGCGGCGGGGCTCCCGCCCTCCGTCTTGCTCTCTGGACCCGTTTCGCTCTCCTCCGGCACGCGGGTGGCATCTTGGGAGGTGCTCTCGTCTACGCCAGGAGCTTCCTCCTCGTCTCTACTTGGGACCGCCGGGTGAGACTCCTCCGAGGGGACTTTGGCTTCGTCGCTGACTGCATTTGTGGGTGTGTTTGGGGCCTGTTCCCCCCGATCGTCCTCCCCCTTATTCGGATCGTCTGGTTGAAGCTGCTCTGCCCCGTCCGCGGGCTTTTCCTCTGTGGCCTCTTTGTCCGGCAGCACCGCAGCAGGGGACTCGTCCTCGCTCAACTTTGTGTCCGTGGCGACATTTATGTTCGTGTCCACTACCTTCGACGCTGTACTCTGGGGGTGTATGTTTACAACGGTGACATTAGCAGTGTTTTCTATTCTGTCGTCTGTCAATTCATGCCGAGGGGTCTCATCTGGCTCCTTGCTTTCTTCTTCTGCCAGAGCCACCTCCCCTGATACGAATTCTGGTTCTTCTAGTTTGTCTTCGGGTCGGCCATGGGATTCAATGGATTCTCCTGTACCAGCAGCTTTTTCTTCTTCTTCTTCTTCTTTGACCGTTTTCTCTCCTTGCATCTCCTTCCGTTCCTCCACTGTTGTTTGACCACCTGGTAAAAGTTCTTGGGTGTCCACTGCATCTCCAGCTTCATCTGGCTGTGCAACCACAGGCTCAGCGGGAATCTCCTCAGCTCGACTATCTCCTGGTCCAGGCGGCTCTGTAGGACCTTGCGATATAAAGTCCTTGGCGGGTTCTGTTAGCCCAGAGGCTAGGTCTTCATTGCTAGCATCCGACACCTCGTTGAGTTTCTCCTCCTCCGTCTTGTCTACCTCGCTCGTTCCAAGACCCTCATCGGACAGCTTGTCGCTGATCCGGTCCTCGGCCGACTCGGCCTCCGTCTTCTCTGTAACGGATTCCAGGGCGGAGGAAGTCGGCGGGACTTTGTCATCCTCTGAGCTGGCCGCGCTGGCATCTGATGGCACTCGCTTGTGCCCGGGAGCCGCCTGCGTGGAAAGAGAAATAGCAATACGTCTTTCGTAAAGACACCAACAACTCTTACATCATGCAAGATTTATTGTGTTGGCTACAAAAGCTACAAACCAAAGGCGTATCAGGCTCTTCCTCCTCCTCCTCCTCCTTGCTGTCCTCGATCTCCTCTGTGACTTCAGCTTTGGCTTCAGCTATGAGCTCTCTGAGCGGTTTGCTGTCCGTCACACTGGTGACGAAAGGATGCTACGCAGACGGACGGGGACACGGTAAAAAATACATTTGACCTCCTTCACAAACTGTCAGGCTGAATCAAGTGTCAGAACAATGAGGAAAATGACTCATTGAGTGAGTGTGTGTGTGCGTTCTTTGGGCTGTATCGTAGGCTGAGTCGGTGTTTGCGCAGCGCGAGGTAACAGTAGGGGGGAGGGGGGGTGGGGGGGGCAGCGTCAGTCAGCTCACCTGTAGAAGCTGTTGCGTGCCCCACCTATTGTCCACATTCTTATCAAGCGCCCTTCGCAGAAAGTCGTTAAATTCCGGTGACCTTTAAAAGGATAAATAAACAAAGTAAGCCTCCCTGCGTCCCGCTAAGCGAAACACAATTAATAACCCCTCTTTCCCCCCCTGTGGCCACTCAGTTAAGCATTAACAATCCACTAAGCTTTTACACATCGAGCACGTCCTTATCTCCAGTCCGGGAAACATTCCGGCGCCACCTCTCTAGTCGGCCCCAGCGGCGCGTCTCACCAGCGAGAAGGATGCATGAGTGTGGGTGGCTCCGACTTGGCTATTTTCAGCAGCACTCTCATGGGGTTCATCTCGTGGTTGGGCGGCTCGATCTGCGCCAGCTCGATCAGGGTTACGCCGAGGGACCAGATGTCGGCCTTGAAGTCGTACGGACGGTCCTTGGAAGTTTCGCACATCACCACCTCTGGGGCCATCCTGCAAAAAACGACACGCCAGTGCGTAATTAGCGTGGAGGTCATTTGCAAGTGAAGCTTTCTGATCCCTCTTCAACGAAATAGCCTGTACGTACGTTGCGGTCAGGGAGGAAGTCCATTTGATATTCAGTGCTTAGGTCGTCCAACACTGTGTCTCTAAATCGCCGAATAAGGCCTTTTTCTGTCTCCACATTCTATGACAGCTTTCGTGCCACAGCAGAGCAAAATCACCGCCGTAAGACACGCGTGGATGGAAGCGAGGGAAATGCTGTACGCAGCCTCAGTGACTCACCAATACGGAGTGCCGATGAAAGAATCTCTCCTCTGAAAAGTCTTGGTATTTTTAGCGGACACCCCAAAGTCAGCTGAAAGTAGAAATGAATTATGATTAATTTCAAACTGTATGAAAGTATAAAACAGTTAAACAGTGAATCCATTGACAGTCATGTATTCTAGAGTCACCTGCTTTATTAACCTGCTTCAATCTTTTCAAATATAAAAAGGTACGTAAGCAGGAAGAAAAGTCTCAATCTCTCCTTTCTCAGCATCTCTTTCAGCAGTTGTGTTACCTGTGAAACACTGTCTGCCCCCCCCCCGCCGCCCCTAGCAATCCTTTACAGTATGCACACATCGCAGGGAAAGAGAAATATACCATCAAGTCCCTGGCGACTGCCTGATAATTATTGTTTGCCGGGCTCGGCCGCGACCCTCTGCCTACACAACGTGAATCATCAGGCAGCTACGGGCACGAGAAGCAATATGAATAATTGTACTTGGATTGTGGATTATATTATGTAACAGGTTCACTGTATCACCAACTGCAATAAGTGGCACATATACAAAGTACAGCGCTCTCCTTTGGGGCGACGGAAAACAGCGGACGTCACCCTTTCTAGCTTGGCGCTGCATGGATGACTCGTTCCAGCTTCATCGCTGGTAAAAACGCTTGTTATCCCAAAAGCCAAATGCTCGGCTGGCTGCCACAGCACTGCTGCTGCTACATGGAACCACAACTGACTTTACTAATCAGCCTTTTAAGCCCATTAGCGTCGGTCCTGCAGGAAGCTTCAGAGGACGTCGGAGACCGAAATCAACGATGAGTCAGCTCCTCTTCTCAAGCGAGTACCTTAATGTGTGCGTCGCTGGACTACGAGCGAGTAATCCCCTCAGATTTAACATTAAAACCATCGCAGCGGCAGAGGATGACCGATTGGTTTTTACCCAGTTTCACTTCTCCATTCAGAGAGAGGAGAATGTTCCCGGCTTTCAAGTCTCTGTGGATGACTTTGTTCTCGTGGAGGTAAGACAAGGCCTCCAAAGTCTGCCGGCACACCACGCGGATCTGGGGCTCCGTCAGGGGCCTCTCGAGCTCTGTGGACAAAAACAGGCGTGCGACAAATTCATCAATTATTACGGTGATGGTTAGTTTCGTTTTCTGACCCGCTTTTATAAAAATAATAAAATAAAAACATTAAATCTGATGACCGACGATATCCGACAGCAGCCGGAGGGCAAAGCTCCACTGTGACCGGGGCTGAACAAATCTGGGGGAAGGATTTGGTTCTCGGTGAGTCAGAGCATCATCGTCCAACCGTGAAGGAGAATTAACTGGTGTCCATTTTCTAGTTTGCATGCAAGAGAAAGTGGCGAGGTGTTTCTTCAGGCTTTACAGTAAGAAGGACAGCAGGCATTACAAGTGGAAGGATCGCTGCTTGAAATCTGAGCCACAATAATTGCACAGTTGGAATGGACTTTCCGATTGCCGAGAGGGAAAAAATGGGGGATGGAGGAGGTTTCTGGATGGAATAACAGAAAAAATAAAAGACTTGGCACTTGAGGATGGGAGTAAAGGAAAAGCTCCAGAACTTTAGTGTTCTTTCCTGCAGTAAATGAGGGACTTACCCAGCATGATGGCATCCACTGCACCACCCGCACAGAACTCAATCAGAATCTGAAACGGGGAAGCAAAAGAACGGTTTACTCTGACGAAACGGGGCTTTAAATTTTCCTTCTCTCGTATTAGATAATTTGCTTAAAAAAGAAAAAAAAAATTGCTCTCCAATGAAGCTGAACATAATAAATCCCAATTAATGAATAGTATTCATGAAATAACAGCATGGTTGGGCCTATTGTTGTAAGTATTTTACTATTTCACGCAAAATTAACAACACAAAAAGAGTAAAAAAAGATATATATTTTTCCAATACTGACAATGTTAAACGGATTCACACAAATAGAGAGAATTAAGGTAAAGACCATAGTTTTGTGTAACTGAGCTTGATTAGGGTTGATTTTTGGGGAAATTTTCGCAGCATGTGCTTGTTGTTATCAATTTAGACAATTGAATTGTGTCACAAGATATTTCAACATATGATCCCATTGAAATTCATTAACAAATTTCAATGGGATTGAGCCATTGCCTAGCCCTTCTCTCACAGCATGGTGTCTATGGCATTGAGTCATATCAGGTAATCGATCAGATACAACAAAGCCATGCCTAGCGACCTGTAATGACATACTTGGGTTTTGTTTCAATCATTACTGGATAGAAATTCCAAGGAAGGTAACTGCACTGGAGACGGAGCCTGGGATCCTCTTCTTATGATGCACACACATAATATCAAAAAGGTGATTTAGCCAATTTCTACTAAATTAACTCTTAATTTTTAGTGTGCAAATAACTGGTGCGTGTATTTACATAAGACTGAAGCTCTGCTCCCTAATACTGTTCTAGAGAAAAACGCCCTGCACCTGATGTCATTTGGACTGTAACTGAGAACCACCTTATATTAGCACTTGGCAGTTAGGTGACACCTCTGTGTATCATATCAATCACATCAATCAAAGCTACAACCGAACACCGCCTTCTATTCAGCGACGGAGCGGATAAACCGGTTGGTTGTTCCTGTTTACAATTCATTGTTCTATGGAAATCTCACTTGCAGTTTTCACCGGGTCTGATGATCTTAATCTCAGGATAAATTGAACATAATTCATGTGGATGAATTCTTTTTTTTCTCCCCTCCCTACAATAATTAGCATTAACTTAACACCCAACCCGTGCTCGGCAGACACAGTCGCACATTCATCAAGCTGATGGACGGCGTCCGGAGGGACGACCTGCATGCAGCTCTGAATTATTCAGGCACTTTCTCCATCCACCAGAACCACTCCATTACCCTCCAATAGATGTGGCCGGTCCACGAGGGACGTACAATGACCCCCCCCGCGTGAACTATATGTCTCGGGGCCCTCTTTTGGCACCCTGGTGGGGTCCTCCCGCCCACATGTTAAAAGGGCGCCCGGGCCGGCGCTCTCTTCCTAAGGGAGAAATGGCTTTTAAAAAAATGTGTCTTCGGAAATTTGCCTTTCTTTTTTAAAGTTTGCCGGGGGGGTGGAAACCCCCCCCCAGTGGGGGGGGGGGGGGGGGGGGGAAGAGCATCGCACTGTGCCACATGATCGGTTTTGAACTCTTCAAAATGTAGGCAACAGGAAAACGTGGCGCTGCTGTCATCCCTCAATCGGAAGAGTCCTTTGAGAAACTGTTCCTCCTTGGCTTCACATCAACGGCAGCACAGACAAAAAGCGGAGTTCTCAAGAGTCCGGCACTTACTACTTACCCACAGCTTGCCATCAAAATAGAAGGCATCCAGCAGCTTGACGATGTGATGGTGGTCGCAGGAGGCGAGGATCTCGATCTCCACCATGTAGTCCTCCAATTCATCCTCCGTCTTGGTGTCGATCACCTTGGCGGCAGCGAGGGTTTTGTTCTGCTTGTTCTGAGCCTGGAAGCGACGTCCACGAGACAAAGGGTTGTTTCGATTAAGCGTGCTGCTTTGCCATCACCTCGGCTGGGGTTAAAGAACAACCAGCCTGGCTTAATCTTTTGTGGCGGCGAGGTCGGGCGGCCGTGGAGGAGAATCCGTCAACGCGAGCCACTGCCTTTAAGACCAAAGCCACCCGGAACGAGAGCGATGGACCCCGCGGCACTAACAAACCCTAACCCCCTAACGCTAACCCGCTAACCCCCTATCCCGCTAACCCCCTATCCTGCTAACCCCCTAATCCGCTAACCCCCTATCCCGCTAACCCTAACCCCCTCTTCCGCTAACCCCCCAACCCGCTAACGCTAACCCCCTAACGCTAACCCTAAAGGCTCGTGTAACACCCAGAGAATCATTCCTCTATAAATACATTACTCTAGAGACTTCATAATAGCACGTTGCGTATATATGTTTATATGTGAACAATTCAAAGTCAAAAACATTTACAACGCGCCACATGCTTGCTTGCTAACTTCCCCCTGTTACGCCCCCGCGTCTTCGATCTGTCCTTTCCCTCTCGCTGTAAAGGTCAAAAGGTGAAGTAATAATACATCTATGGATTGAAATGGTGAACGCTCATCTGCATTGCCAACACATGCGCCTTATTCCTCATTCCCCAATTAGGCTCAACTGAAGAGACCAACGGGAAAGACAATCTAAAAAAGGTCAACACACAATCCAACTGCTGCAGAGTGTGTCACACACTATATTTACACAGCCATGACCGGACTTGTAGCGGGCGACGCCTGTCTAGCGCGGCTCATTGCTAGCGCTCATGCACAGTAGTCACTTTGGACCAGGAGGGCTGAGAGTTATTCAGACGGAGCCTGTGTGCTTTTGTTTTATTTGACACGAACGTCAAAATCGGACAATGTGAACCCCAACAGGTTTTTGACAAAGGGAATAATGCAGGCGGGTCGCTCTTCACCGATTAGAAAAGCCCATTCGAACCGGCGCTCAGGCGTCGACGTGCATGATGACACTTCTGGACTCTTCGGTCTTTCCCTCCACAGAACAGCTGATTCACACGTTTGTGACCCCGCCCGAATGAGACAAGCCATCGAAAGCCTGCGAAATAACTGGTGAAATACGTAGTGTGTGAGTGTGTGTTAAGCAACGTGAGCCGGGGAGGGCGAGGCCTCCTTCCTCTGTGTGCGGGGAGCCAAAGACAAAACATTGGAAAGTGTGTACATCTACAACAAGTCTAAGAAGACATTAGGCAAAGGCTTTTCATTTAGGTTGGTTAATCAGCAAATAAAACTGGCAAATGAAGATATTAGATTTGTTCCTGCTATAACTGTCCGTGTCGGAATTTAATTCATTGCCTTGGTCCGTTAAAAGGAGGCGTATTAACAAACGCTTTTTAACCCCCAGACAAACACAGGTATACAAACAAAGCAGAGTTCCTCCCATGATGTTGATCTTTTCAAAAGGGCCTCCTCGGCCTAACACAAACTCACACACAGATAATACACCTGGGTTTTATTTATTTTTTAGATTTAATCCAACAGAGCAAATCTACAGCTTCAGAATCGACCACCCGAGGAAGTCTGTGTTGTCCACCACCTGTCTTCAATGAACACCTGACCTGTTGAAAGCTCTTCACTAAAATCTACATTCCCACCTGTGCACCTGTCACAGTACAAAGTACCTGCACACGTGACTCTTTAATGCAACCGGCGGCTCTGGGACTTTATTTGTCATTTGGGTCCTCGAACATCCCGTTGGACATCAACGTGTCCACTAACTCACTCCGTGGTGGACAACCACACCTTTCAACAGTTTGACGGAGGCCCGAGTGCAGTGAGGACTCGTGTTGGCATTTCAACGATCGCGTGCCCCCCCCCCCACCTCACCTCGTCACGCGACGGAAGCGTATTTCTTAAGAAATCCGTTAACGCGCACGTGAGAGATTAGCCAACGGCACGTTACCTTGTACACTTTCCCGAAGGCTCCATCTCCGAGCTCCCCGATGATGTCCCATATCTCCTCGGGGTTGACGTCGCGGTGCACGTGCTCGTACTGCTTCTTCTTCTTGTCGGGTCCCAGCTTGAATATCTTGCGAAAATTGAAGAAAGACATCTTTTTTTCCCCACCACCCCCCTCTCCTCCTCCTCTGTATTGTGATGTTAGCAACGGAGCAGTGGATGCGGTGTCTTCAGTTACCGCCTCCCTTCCTCCGAAATGCAAAATATAGCGGTTCCTCCCGAGTGTTGGAAATCACAGCGCTCAGGCCTCGAGTGACGGAAGATGACGTGTTATCGGAGCCATTCAGCGGTGATGACGCCCATTAAAACTTCCCCCCCCCGACGGATGTAATTCATAATCACATCGCAGCTAGCCGCGTTTCGCTGCTCGAGGAGAGATGCGGAGAGACGGAGAAGACGTCGCCGTTACGCACAAGCTAGCGTTTCCGTTTATAAAACAATTCGCCCGAAGTAACAACAGATAAAACGGCGGTTGTCGGTCATATCGTCGCGCGTGTTCGTCATTTAACGTTCGGGTGTGAAATGTGGAGAGTAAAAGGAGTCCATACTTCGGTTGGCTGACTAAACATAAGTTAGCGGACCAGCGTCAAGCTAGCTGAAGTGATGCTACTTGGAATAGCTTTCCTTAAGAAAATAAAATAAACTGATAAAATAAAACTGTTAGGAAGAGGCGTACAATATTTCGAAATAAAGGACCCGTTCTTGCAACAGACGGTAGTATGAAATAAGCTTCATATCTTTATGTCATATTATGAGGTCGGATTGAGCTAGTTTTACATTTGTTTTATTTTTAAATAAAATATTATATATATATATATATATATATATATTATATTATATACGTGGGGAATTTGAGTGTAAATTCAACGCTATTTCTGTTTTTTTAAATGCATTTTTAATTTTCCAACCGAGTTATAAAGTGTTTTTCCGCGTCGTTTTTGTGTTGCGGATAGATATACAAATTAAAAGAAAGACCCTCACTAAGTGCTTTTATTTTGGAGGGTGCATTACTACATTCCCGTCGTCGGGTGGTGTGTCGATCAGTAGCTTGACGCTGTTAGTTGGCTGGATCTGTTTCCTGTACCTCCTCTGCAGGACGCGCTTAGCGGCTCAGCCCCGTCGTTACGTACGCTGCTAGTGGTGTTCCTGTTGTCATGAAGAGGAAATACAAGTTTTGTCAGATGAGGCGGATTAATTGACACATTTAGCCAATTATCAGTAATTAAGCAGTCATTGATAGTCATGGGAATGCTCATGTGTCGTGTTTCCCACCGACAACAGACTTATCTGGAAGGCAAACATCAGCGCTGTGTACAAGAAGGGGATGAGTCGACTCTTTTTCTGGAGGAAACTTCGATCCTTTAATGAATGCAGCAAGATGTTGGAGATGTTCCACTAGTCTGTTGTGGCCAGTGCTCTGTACTTTTCCATCGTCTGCTGGGGGAACAGCATTGGAGCTGGTGACACCAGTAGACTTAAGAAGCTGGTGGAGAAGGCCAGCTCCATCATTGGCTGCCAACAAGAGCATCCTGAACAGGTGGTGGAGAGGAGGACACTGAAAAAACTGTTGTCCATACTGGACATCTCGGACCACCCTCTTCACCACCTACTGCTGGGCCGGCGGAGCACCTTCTCCAACAGGCTGATCCAGCTCCACTGAGTGCTACCATTGCACACAAATTTCCCCTTGGGGATTAATAAAGTTTATATCTATCTATCTATCTACGAATGTCCTTATAATGAAATTGGCCTTCTATTTGAATGACTTGCTGTGAACTTATGTCAGTCAACAAATAAACACGCTCTCCAAGGTTCAACAATATATAATAAGTACCGTGGGTTTACAAAATCACCGTCTGTTGATCGTAAAATGTATGCTTAGTTTTTGTGTTTTTCAAGATTTTACAGTATTAGTAGTAAATAATGTGACACTGTACACATGGTGGTAATGGGTGAGAGCAGTATTAAGGTGCTTTAAAAGTAGTAATACTAATACGCGTAAACAGTGTTTGCAATATTCAAAAAATAAACATGTGTAACAAAAGTAATAAGTAATAATATATTCATTTGTAAAGATATAGTGTATTAATATGTTATACGGGTTTTAATTTTGCAGCTGATGGAGTTACTTATAATTTGAAACGAATTTTCATAAAATTTAAACTCATAAAATCACCGGTTGTTTAAAACGGTGAGCTCATCCTTGGTGTTGTATGGCGCCCCCGTGTGGGGAAATGATGTAAACGCAACTCTCCTCCACCTCCACTCGCCTCGTGGATTCTCTGCCTCTACTCCGGAGGGAGCAAAGTAGTTTTTGACGGGTTATAAATCAAACTCGTTTTTTTTTCTTTCGAAGCAACACGTTTTTTCATTTTATTTCGAAAAGGAGTTAAAAGGGAAATATATAGTTTCAGTGGCCTCAATGGTTTTCAGGGCAACAAGAAACAAAAGTCCTAACTTTTTTTCAAAGAGTCCGGTTCATGTCTGTCCGGCCGGCTGAAGCGGGACCGCCCTGTGCGCACTGACGCGCCCTCCGGTCCGTGGTTTAGCTGCAGCAGTACAACCCCCCTCCACCCCTCCACCCCCCAGTCCTTTCAGGGAGGGGAAGACCGACTGAATACCAGTTTTATTGCGTTGTCATGTTCCACAAGGAACACAGAAGCTCCGAGACAGTCTGAGCACGTCGCTTCATGGATGCACCCAAAGTTTCTCCTTCCGCCAATTCTCCGCTCCGCTCCGACTGACGCAAAACGTCTATGATTCTTTTTTTCCCTTCTTTTTTCTTCTCAGTATCGTTTCTATGGGCGAGCATCTTCTTTTGTAGCGTTTCTTGGTCCGAATCCCACTATAGGTTCCTTCAAGATGCAGCTCCGAAACGTCCTGGACGTCAATGTCGTGGACGTGCAGAAGAGAAGGAACCCGTCCAAACATTACGTAAGTTACCGACAATTCTTCTCGTGTTGTTGCTCAAGTGACGTAAGCCACTAACTTCACAATTGATAACGTCGGGCTCCGAACTATAAACCTTGTTGTTTAAGCCCCGGCGGCTCCGTGCACAAGGAAGTCCGCTGTGGAAGCACCACATTCGGCCACAGCTCTGACATCCCAGCAACTAATGGAATGAAGTGCTTAAAACTCTAAGCGTCCAGGGTGTGTGCAGCGTTTTCCTTTACGCCGGGACGGTCAATGCACAGCCGGACAAGGGGGTTCTGATGGTGTCTGGAAGGACTTTGACTCTGACTGACAGCCCCCCAAGTCAACACATGTTGGGTGTTTGCATGTTTAATGTGCTGCAGCTGACCAGGAAACTCCCCGAGATGGTCCGCAGACTGACATTAGCCATGCATCTCTCCCCCCCCACTGACTCTGTCATGCCCAAAGGTGCAGGACAAGATGTGTCCATGTCTGTGATGGAGATAACCACGAGACCTTGGAAAGGAAACTAATCCAGGTTCTGGTATAATCAGCTGGATTTAGTCAATGTTATAATATCACATTTAGTTCAGTCAGTGACTTTTTTGGCGACAGATTATTCGAACAACTGTGCAGGAGTGCGATGAAAGCGTCTCTCACTGGCCTGAAAAAGTGCTTAGAAAGCATATTACTGTGACAGTATGAAGAAAAAAACCACCCATCAACACGCTGTGAAATAAAACAGATACTCTTAAATATTTGGTTGGCTGAGAAAACCTTTTACCGTTTCGTTCAAAGAAACACTAGAAATGAAAGGCTCTTTTTGATGCAGTCCACACATGAAATGTTAAAATGGATTTTAAGGGGATATTTTTTAGCTTTGACTCGTAAAATTTCAGTTTTAGGAATAATATCAAAAAAGTCAAATGCTGTTTGATATTCATACAAAGAAGAACAAAACAAGTGCTAAACTACATGATTTGTGAAAGTGGGTAAAATAATGTTCCAGTTTGGCTGTGGACTCCTATTGGTCGGCTCCTTGTGTTTTGTTGCTCACTAAAGTAATCAAGTCCAATGAGCCACAAGACTCGTATCACTGCAAAAAATATATTGGTCCATCAGGTGCAATTGGATTAATTAACCGGAGAGGTGGGATCAATTGCGTCATCCATCTCCGGCCTGAGGGAGCCTCCGGGAGGCCACTAAACACGAAGCGCAGGCGTTCCCTTGGGATGGGAGCCGGAGATGAGGGTTGACCGGGGGATTCCTCCCCCGAGGGAAGAAGAAGAAGAAGGAGAACAAAATAAAATCTCATTATCGATGAGCTAAGCAACTGAAAATGCTTATCCGGTTCGAGAGGGGACAGAAGCAACCCTTTGTCTTCTGTCCCCAACTGTGACTTCCTTCCAGTGATTCACTGCGCTGGAGCCAGAGCGGACGTGGCAACCGATGCCTACTCACTTACTCGCGCAGTGTTTGGTTAGATTCACCTTACACGGCAGCCGTGAGTGCGTGACTGCGTGTGAATGGGTGAATGTTGACATCCAGCCTGGCTTAAAGCGCTTTAAGTGATTGACAGGTACTGTTTAAACGATACTATTTACCGAATAACCAGCAAAACTATAACCTTGGATTGTCAACTAATCTATCGGAATCCAAATATTCAACTTAAAACTGCTTTTGTTGAGAAACCAAACATCCAGGTTGAAAAACGTGCTCTAAAAAACGTAATCATCTTAACTACATCAGGCACATGAGATATCGCAAACATCACAATCTATTCCCTGTAGTGTTGCCCTGAACACTAACCTCGCACACCCTCACTTTGAGCCACACCGTGGCCTAAATTCCCAGTATTCGATCACGCTGTCTGTATCTAATTAGCGAGCTGCTGGAGAACTCGTTCCGCCGAGCTGAAAAAACTGCTTTTGAAACTAGCGACCGATGTCCTTGTGGATGGACGCCATGTGCGTAAATGCCGCTTTTGTAAACACGCTGCGCCACGAGCTTGGATGGAAATGCATTAGGCGCAGCCATCTGTCTCCGAAATCCCGGGGCAGAGGTCAGAGTGCACAACTGTTTGCGGGCCCTTTGTTGTTGAGGCAAGATTTTTAGCAATTAAAAAATACAGCCAGATTGCACCTCTTCACTCCCGCAACTCACGTAATGTCAGTTCCTTTCAATGACTTGAATAATGTACACAGAACGATCACTGTTTATTTTAATGCCAGGGTACACCGTCACACCAGTATATTGTTACAACCCTACTTGCCGTTATTCCTGGGGAGAATTATACATGCTGGAAGTTTTTAATATAATGGAAAAGTCATTTGTTTCCACAGACGTCCGACTCAGGGCGTTTACACACTAAAGGTCCTGAATTAAACCAAAGCGAGGATGGTAGCAATTGGTTACATTTTCCAAAGTCAAACAGTCTGGAAACTGTACAAAATAGCTGTGGTGGAAATGGTTAATTATTGGTTATTTTCTTAATTTAATGACATAATACTTGAAAGCTATTGGCCTTCTTCTCATTGACCCCTGATGGGTTTCCAACGGTTGGCATGAAAAGACGTTCTTAACGTGTTTACTTGACCTCGGGCGACTCCCTGAGGTTAAGTGAGGAAAGAATGCACTTTGTGTGCAAGGCAAGCTTAAGTGGCACTGTGGTGTCTTTGACTAAGTGGC